CAGGCAGGGTCAGAGACCAGAGCGGTGGCGTAGTCAAGGCGGCGGGTAGAGGCGAAGTCAGCGACCGCAGCTACAAGAGCGTCAAGGCACGAGACCGGAACAGACGGGTCGGTAACGAGAGAGGCAAGGACCCGGGGAACAAGAGGACGAGCGGCACAAAGGTAGTCAGACATCGGGGGGGGTGCAACAACAAGGGAGGATGGAGGAGGCGACGGCAGAAGGGGAGGACGAGACGCATGGGAACGAAGCAACATAGGGTGGGAGCGCAAGACAGGCGAGGCAGGACGAGCACGGGAGGGACGGTGAGACCAGACGTGCGACGGAGGAGTCGGGTCAGGAGACAGGGGAGGGGACACAGGAGGGGAACGAGGGGGAAGACGGGCCGGGGACGAGTCCGGCGGAGGGAACACAGGGCCGTAGACGGGAAGAGGAGGAGACGGTCGGAGAAGAACAGCCGCAGAGTCAGGGGACGGAAGGCCGAGCAGGCGAAGGGCGGACACCGGCGGGGACTGCTGCTCCGGCGGCACAACGGCGACACCGGGACTGCAAGCTGCTCCTCGGCTACCACCGGCACACTCCACACCAGCACCCCCAGAGGGACCCCCAGGGCTACCGGTACTAGCACCCCCAGAGTCAGCGAACGGGTGCTGCGACGACGGCGGCAGCGGCGGCAGCGACACTGACGGCTGCAGCGGCGGCAGAGGCAGTGGAGGAGGGGACTTGGGAGGGGACGCTTGTGGAGGGGCGGCCGGCGAGGACTGCGCAGCAAGGTCACCAGAGTCAGAAGACTCCTCAACCGGGTCCACCGACGGAATGGGGGTGACGTGGGACACACCAGAGGGGGCAGGACGGGGAGGAGGAGGGGGAGGGGCAGGGACTACCGGGGAAGGAGTGGCCAGGAACAGGGGGGGGGTAACCGGGGGACCGCGGTGGGGGAAGCGACGGTAGTAAGAAACGGACTCGTCAAAGGTGACGTCGCGAGAGTGAAAGAAGCGGTGAGACGGCGGGTGGTAAAAGTGCCAGTCGGACGCGTCAAGGGGAAAACCGAGGAAGATGCAGGGAAGGGTGCGGGCAGTGAGCTTGTCCGTGGAAGAGGCACGGACGTGATCAAGGCAGCCCCAGACGTGAAACGCAGACGCGTCACCAGGAGACCCGGTCCAAAGACGGGTCGGCGAAACCTGCGGCTGCTGGGGGTGCAGCCACAAGTTAAGCTGGTGAGAAGCGTAGCGCACAGCGAACGGCCACAGAAAATGGGGTGCACTGGCATGGATCATGGAGGTGCGAGCCACCTCAATGACCAAACCGATGCGTCGCTCAGCGACCCCATTCTGCTGTGGGGAGTCCGGTAGGGTGAACGTCTGGGTGATGCCCTCCGCACGACAAAAGCAACCAAGGACACCTGAGGCAAACTCGCCACCACGGTCGTAGTGAAGACGCAAGACAGGGAGACCGCGGTGGACACGCGCAGAGACAAGCCAGGGGATGAGAGCGCCAGGCACGTCGGCCTTGCGCTCCAAGGGAAAGACTGTGGTGTAACAAGTGAAGTCGTCGACAAGCACAAGGAAGTAGCGCTCTCGACGCGGCCCAGGGACAGGGGCGGGGCCCCAGACGTCCAGGTGCAGGGTCTGCAGTGGCGCGGCGGTAGGGGGAAACGAGGAGGAGTGAGGGGCACGGCGAAGCCGACCCTCGACACAAGGCGTGCAAGGTGGGGCTGGGGAGGAGGGAAACGCGGGGAGAGAACCTGGGAGACCAAGGACAAGACCGTTCTGGGACATGTGACGCATACGCGGGAGCGCAGGGTGACCTAGGCGGTGGTGCCAAAGGAGAGTCGGGTGAGTGAGGGACCGACAGGAGCAGGCAGCAGCAACCTGGGTGGGCGCTCCAGCCGGGGGGGTCACGGTGTCCAGAGTGAATAGGCCGGACACCGGGTCCTGGGGGAACGTGGACAAGGGGGCACCAGTGGCGGCCTCGGTACAGACAGCATACCGCTCGTGACCAGGGAACGTAGTGGTGACGCCAAGGTCTTGGAGGCAGCCGACACCAACTAGGTTCTTGGAGAACGAGGGGATATGCAGACCAGTGAGAGTGCCCGAAGGAACCGCCGGACAGGGAAGGGTGGTGGAACTGCGGGCGACTACCGGACCGCCGGAGGGGTCAGCAAGAGAAACGGCAGCAGGAACAAGAAGCGGCGTCAGGGTGGTGGAGTCGCGGAAGAATCACCGGGAAGCGCCAGAGTCCAAGGTGAAGGAAAGCGAAGCAGAGGCGTCTGGCGACGGAACGACGGCGGAAGCACCAAGACTACACAAAGCAGGGGATCCTACGCCTGATGCAGCAGGGGAGGCTAAGCTAGGCACACCTACACTACCCGACAGTGAGTAATAAGCGGGAAGCACACTAGAGTCATCAGCATACATCACATGCAAAGCAGAAACAATGGCATCCATGTCCATGTCAAAAATCTGAATCTTACGACTAAGCAAACTGTGCCAGTCCGGGAGGTCTGGCGACGGGCCGAAGCGCTGACGAAACAGGTCGTCCAGGCGACGAAAACAGCGGGGAGTGGAGTGACCGATCTTACCGCAAACGAAGCCGCGGCGAGGACCGGTCTGGATCTGGTACTGACAACGCCCGCCGCCAGAGCCACCACTCGGCACACCACCACGCGCCCGGCCACCGCCAGCGCCGGGCCACCCGGGCGGGAGGACACTCGTTTGCCGCGTCTGCGACGGCTGCTGCGGCTGCTGCGAAGGCTGCGGCTACTGCGACTGCGGCGGCTGCTGCGGCTGCTGCTGCTGCAGCGACTGCAGGGGCGGCGGCTCAGCTGGACTGGGCAGGGTCCCCTCGTCCGCTCCAGCACCAGACGACCCGACTCCACCACAACCCCCTCCCGCACCCCTGCCTCCTCCGCCGCGCCCAACCTTGGGGCGGCGGCCCTTCCCCGAACGAAACTGCGCTGCAGCAACAGTCTCAGCCACAGCGGTAGAGCCGTCGGAGAAGGTACACTGAGCAGGGGCACAACCCTGAAAGATAGAGACCGGCAAGGTACCGCTCGCCTGGGCGATGGAGCAGTGGCGGGTCTCAATAACAGTCAGGGTGTCTACAAAGTCAGCGAGGGTGAGGTCTGCGGGGTGAATGCTAAGGAAGTGGTCGCGGGCGACAGCAAGGCGGCCAGGGAGGCGGGTGGCAAGCAGGTAAAGGGTAGAGGTAATGGGCGGCTGGTGGGCTCTAAGCTGTGCGTCAGTGCAGGCAGCGCGCCAGGTCTCATCTATCGAGCGCAGGTGGGCAGCGAGGTCAGAGACAGTGGGGAAAGACGCAAGGTCAGGAAAGAGCATCGGGAGGATCAAGCAACCCACCGAGGCAGCCAGAGGGGTGGAATAGCGCTTGATGACAGCATCTAAGTAAGCCTGAGCAGTAGTGAGGGACCTAAAGCGGGGGCGCTCGGACGGGGGAAGGGCGTTGCTAATGGCAAGCTGGGCGACAGCATCGCGAGAAAGCCAGACAGAGCGCGCATGGGCAGTGGCAGCAGTAGACTCGCGCTCAGTGGGTGTGGAGTCAGCGGGCAGAACAGCAGGGGGGTCTGGGCAGGGGAGCGTACCGTCAAGGTGTGCGGACAGCGGTTCACCATCCTGCCACTGGCCAGTGAGTTGGCGCCGGAGGTCGGCAAGCCACGCCTCGAACTCCAGAGGCTGGCCTTCAGCGTCGAACCGAAGCTCCGCCGCCATCAGAGGCAGTGCAGGGCGGTGCAGTGCGGTGCAGGGCAGTGCAGTGTGGTGCGGGGCGGTGCAGGGCGGTGCAGTGCGGTGCAAGGCAGTGCATGGAGGGGGGAACCGTACCAGTGAGGATGAAGGGGCCGGGGCAGGGATGAGCAACGGGGCCGGGCAGGTGCGGCGGGGCACGGCAGGCGCGGCGGGGCCGGGCAGGGCGCAACGGGGCCGGGCGGGTGCGACGGGGCCGGGCGGGTGCGACGGGGCCGGGCGGGTGCGACGGGGCCGGGCGGGCGCGACGGGGCCGGGCAGGGCGCAACGGGGCCAAGCGGGTGCGACGGGGCCGGGCGGGCGCGACGGGGCCGGGCGGGTGCGACGGGGCCGGGCAGGGGGCGACGGGGCCGGGCAGGGCGCGACGGGGCCTGAAGGGTTGACGGGGCCCAGGAGGGGCGCTACGGGGCCCAGGAGGGGCGCTACAGGGCGAGGGGCGCAGCAAGGCCCAGGAGGGTCGCAACGGGGCTAGGGGGTCGCGACGGGGCCCAGGAGGGGCGCGGCAGAGCTAAGGGCACGACGGGGCCCAGGGGGTCGCTACTGGGCTGGGGGGTCTCGACGGGGCCCAGGAGGGACTCGGCAGGGCTAGGGGCACGACGGGCCTAGGGGGTCGCAACGGGGCTAGGGGTCGCGACGGGGCCCAAGGGGTCGCGACGGGGCTAGGGGGTTGCGACGGGGCCAGGGGGTCGCAAACGGGGCCCAGAAGGGGCGCGGCAGGGCTAGGGGCACGACGGGGCCCAAGGGGTCGCGACGAGGCTAAGGGGGTCGCAACGGGGCTAGGGGGTCGCAACGGGGCCCAGGAGGGGCGCGGCAGGGCTAGGGGCACGGCGGGGCCTAGCTAGGGGACGAGCGGAAGCGGTAGGTGGGGGGATCCTAACCTACGCGTGATACCATATCAAACTGAGAGAAGTGAATGATGACTAGTGGGAGTGTACAGATAGATATACCTAAGTATTGTACCCTCTAAGAGGTGACCCTATACAGTTTATGCAAACATAACAAATACACATGTTTGACACCCACCCCAAGCTTCCAAATGCACTGCGTTTGAACAATTTGGGCTACGGGCTTTAAAATAACAAGCATCATCCCCATATCAAAACCTACATTTTACGTACACCTGCAAAGGTGATGTTGTCAGAAACCCAGCCACTAACCACTGGGTTAAAAGGGCTTGTTGAATAGCGGGTAAGTGCGCCCATAGCCCCCCAGGCTCTGCACCTGTGGCCCTTCCCCGAGGATCTCAAGGGCAACCCCAGCGGGTCACTCAACACCCCCCCCCCCGCTGGGATAGGTGGAAGACACGAGCGCCTCTGTAGCGCTGGCACTGGGAGTTGAACCCAAGACCTTTGGCTCTGATACCATGTCAGAAACCCAGTCACTAACCACTGGGTTAAAAGGGCTTGTTGAATAGCGGGTAAGTGCGCCCATAGCCCCCCAGGCTCTGCACCTGTGGCCCTTCCCCGAGGATCTCAAGGGCAACCCCAGCGGGTTACTCAACAGATGTAGCTTATGTCAGATACCTCTGGCCGGCAATGCAAATAACTGGGGATCAACAAAAATGATAAATTTTGAAAGTGTTACACACTTCATAAAATTATGTATTGTGGAAGTGAGGATGTGGCCAACACAGCAAAGGTAGCAACGAAGCGCTACTCACCCTCTTTTGCCTACAAAAGAGGGACGTGAGGCCATTTGGCCTCACCCACGTTCTTCATTTCTAGTTTGTAGTTTGATTTCTCCCACCCTCCCACCTTGGCCAGTTGTAGTATACCATGTTTGCATGTAATGGATGATAACTATGTACTACCCATTTGGAATGAAGCACGCTGCCTTTGCAAGATGGCCTAAGCAAGGTTTCACAATGAATGGATAAACATGCCATTGCACAATACCTCTCACATCGTGCCAAATAAACGGGGGTCTGTCCGTACCGTATATTTGAGAGTGGTGGTATGTGGATTCCATCAAATGCTGCATGTTCCTGTTCGAGCCTTTTTCGGACTAGGTGTGCAGATTTTGGCACCAGGTTTCAACATGTCCACACACTCGTACCCATTCATTCTCCTGTAACAACCCTTGATGCTGTAGAAGTACTTGAGGTGGATGTACTTGCAATCATCCCCTGGCGAGATGGTGTAGGTGCTGGTCCTTGAACAGATGCCAGCTGAGAAGTTGGTGGCGCTGCCAATGCACACCTGCAGGCAAGTGGAGGTGAATGTAGACAGCTAAGCAGTCAGTAGGGTGGCGCCCACCAACGGGCATTGCATTTCGAGCAGCGTGTGCAGCATGGCATTGTGTCAGCACGTTAATGCACCAAACTGACGCACCTCAGCACCGAAGGTGGTGGCGGGGCGAGAGTAGTTCTTCACGGGGATGAGCTGGTTGCAGTTGACGCCAGGGTTGAGGCGGTAGAAGTCCACCGGGCTGAGAGGGGGCTCTGCCAGCTGTGCGATGCTGTGGCACGTGTCGTTGAGGCGCGCGCGGTAGTACTGGTCGCACACCACAGTCAGGTTGGCCTTGGAGGGGTCTCTCTCCACGCACACCGCCTGAGAGGGCTTCAGAGACCAGCAGTCCACAGCGGGGTTGAGTGCCTGAAATGCCGCCTCACACGCCGCATCCGAGGCCGCCTCCCCACACAGCTCCACCTGCCGCCCCACCCCCGCACACGTGTCGCCCTGGAGGGGAACGGGAGAGGGAGGCGGGGGAGCGGGTGGAAATGGTTGAGAGCGAAGGGGAAGGATTGGATGGAGAGGAGGGTTCTTGCACCTTAAGATGGAGGATGAACAGAAGAGGGAGCATCCTTGGGGACGGGGTTACTTGCACGACCGCCCACAGGCAAGAACATATGCTGTAGCTGTTGCTCTAGGGTGATAAGAGACTGTTGGCTGGAGGCTCGTTGAATTGGTTGCACATTGAAGCAGCTCAAAGCTATGAGCCCCTCACCAGAACAGTGGTGTAGAAGACAGAGCACGGGTCGACAGTAGAGTTGACTAGCAGCCTTGAGTTGAGGCGCAGAGGCGTGGAGCATGAAACGCCCTGTGGCACATGCAGACAGAGGGAGAAACAATACCACCACAAGCCCAGGGCACTTATAACAGCACGAGATTGAGGGATGAGTGCAATGCACAGTCTCTTGGTTGCAGGGCAGAGGTTGATCCCCAAAAGCTCAGGGGACTCTGGATGAATACAAGTATGGGAAGAACGACCATGGACAATCCAAAACACACATACAGTGACTCCTCAAGCACCCAGATTAGACCGTGGGTACCTTGTTCTGCTGCTTAAACTGGTCCAGAGTGAGGGCGAATATGGGATGCACATTGGAGCACCACACATTGCTCTGCTGTACAGTGTACAAGCCCCCTGCATCACCTGCACCACCACTCACGAAGAAACACATCAGCACAACAACACACATCAGTAGCCCAACCGGCCGTTTCCAGAACTCGGCACTCCAATGAGCGGCCCAAGTTTAAGCATCAGCACTTATAGATCAGCAGTATGCTGGGTGAAAATCATGGTTCAAGTGTGAGAAGATGTGCATAGTGGATAGGCTAGAGGAGTGAGTGTGAAGTGCAATGGTGCTTGATTAAGTAAAGAAGGAGCCAGTTGGACGGAGCAGAAGCACAAAGGGTCAGGAGTCACAAGGTGAGTACCAGAGGAGAAAGTTGTCATTTCGATGACAGGAGGAGAGAGTTTCTACCAGAAGGCTGGTGTTACCTGGAGCACAGGAGGCGGTGCTGGCGAGGGTGGTGCCCTGGACGAACCCCGGGGGACACACACAGGAGTAGCTGCCCCTGCCATCATTCACACACGTGCCCACCACACAAGGGTTGCGACTGCTGGACCCACACACATCCACTGGGGGCACGGAAGAACGGATGGGCACGGGGAACACACGAAAATGGTTAAGGCCAGTGGCATGAGCACGGGGTGTGTTAATAAGAAAGCATAAAGGATTCTACATTGAGGAGATTGAGGATGGGCGTGGGCATGAGCATAGGGACGGAAGCAACTTCGACAATCGCTAATGGAAGGCAGGAAGGAGAGGTTGTGTCGGTAAAGGCAAAGGATTTGGAGAAAAACAAGATCCCAATTTACTTGACGAATTCCACAAAGAGAAAGCTATCCTGTACTACCATCAACACAGGTGTTTAATACCACAGCTGGACCTCTTGGCTAAAAACCAAGAGGACCAAGTGGTGGAAAAAGCACTGAGCAAAACATATTCAGCAAAAACTGCAAGTACAAAAAAACCAATTGGTATAGATATACTTATCAAGGAAAGTTCTGAGAAAGTGGTTTGTGTGGGACAACTTGGACATAAAACGGCTAAATTGGAGTCCCAAGAGCTAGCAGGAGATTGTAAATATAAAACAAAGTGATACGATGGGGATTGGACAAGTGTCATTGTACAAGGGAAGAAACCAGTGAACAGTGTACACTACAACAGGCATAGCTGCACTTCACACAAACATTACCACAGGTGCATAAAAACACAAGGGTGCACATTACCATAAGCACAGGTGTATGATCCATCGGTGTTCTTGACTTGCACAAAGCGGGCATCAGAGCACTTGCAACGGTTGCTGGTGCCTTTCTTGCTGCAGTTAAACTGGCCGCACGGGTTGAAGGTGGCGCCCAGGACAGTGAACTTGAAGGAGCGCGACCCACACGAATCGGCGCTGGCTGCTCAACACGTACACAGAGTGGGGCGGTTGTGGAGAGGACCAAGCCCACACGTCCATCTCAGATGAGTATGGGTCGAGGGCATGGGATATGTAACAAGATGACGAATGGTCTACGGGGGCATGGCATACACCATATGGCACTCTATGCATGGACTATGGGGCATGGGGCGTTTTGAATACATGGATATAGGCCATGTATATAGGGCTTAGGCCATGGTGAGTGGGCCATGGCACATGGCTTATGGCGAATGGACGAGCCAGCATTCGAGAAGCACCCCTGACATCACCCTGAAGAGGGTCTTTTGTGAGCACAGGGCGAGTCATGGGTCTCACTTCTGACGACAGGGAAGAGCCCCGGGAGAGTGTTGATGCCACAGATACCATCTCCACTGCGAATGTCCATTCGCATGTGGCCCTGGTCGCCCCACTGTGTGCCCCATGAGTTGCGGATGATCCAGAAGGGCGGCGGCATGGCGGAGTAAGGGTCAAAGCCCGTGGAGAGAAAGCCCACCACCAGCACCACGTGGTTCAGATGCCCCCTGAAACACGCCTCGTCCGCGTACTTGCCTCTCTGCCCCCATGCACACACAGAGCAACCAGCACACATGGTGACCGACCGGAGGTAGCACAGCTGCTCCCCCACTCACACAACAACCAGCACACATGGTGAGCGGAGAGTGCGCAGCTCAGAATAGAATGGCTTACACAACATGCCAGGTAGCCGCTCACCCCATCATAGTCTTGGAAGGAGGGTGCGGAGGCCTCGATGTGCACAATGACTGGCTGGCGCTGCACTGCCAGCATGAGCCCAAACCACCCGTAGAAGGCAGTGCGCTCGATGCCCCGGATGCCATAGTACCTCGTGCTGACCTGCCGGCAAGTAAGAGAGAGGTGGGAAATAGAGAGATGCCACTGCACACCACCAGCAGTGCACCAACAGCAGAACACCAACTGCAGAACACCAACAGCAGAACACCACCAGCAGCAAACCACCAGCAGCACAGCAACAGCAGCGCACTGACCGGCGACCCGCCCTTGAGCGCCAGCGCTTGGGAGTACACCGCCTGCTCCAGCAGCCCCCTGCCCTGGGTTGTGGCGTTGAGGAGGAACTGCAGCGCCTTGGTGGGGGAGCCACCGTCGCAGTTGGAGGAGAGGGCGAGGCGCAGATGGTCCACCGACAGCACGGGGGGCTGCGACCAGTTGCTGGCAATGCTGTAGGCTGCCTCCACCGCTGCCACCACTGCGTACGCCCAGCAGTCACCTGTGTCGCAGGAAAGGGGGAGAATGAGATATAGTTGAGCACTCTCTCATGGTCAGAGGTGGCGGATACAGTGCCTTGGGCGGACATAAAGACCTGTACTGATAGTTACATGTTCAATGTTACAGCTAGCCGAAATGAGATGTCTGGCAGGTTTTCTTATAGGCGCCGTACACATCCCCTGAAATTGCACAGAATGAACAGTGGCAAACAGGGTAGGGCCGCGCAGATTGGTTAGCGAGCTTGACGAGAGGCTGGACCAGCGCGAATTGTTTTTTTCCCGGTTCGTCGCAACTTGCATTTCGTCACATTCAGCAATTTTGTAAACAATTGTCTAGGGGGAACGAAACAGTGGGAGGGGCGCGCAGGAACTGTACAGATTTGGCCACAATTCGGCAGGGGAGGGGGGGATGCGATTTTTGACGGGGGAAACGAAATTGCAGGGGGGAATAGCGGGAAGAGGAAAAGACACGAGGGGGGGAAGGGGTGTGGGGGGGGGGGGGGAAGGGGGGGGATGACGCTGTGAAAAGGGGGGATGACGCTGTAAACATTGCGGGGATACACAGGGGCCTCAAGAGATGTGCAGTACACAAATGTTCTCCTACGTAGGCGAGAGCAAAATCTCTCAAGGCAAAGTTATGCTGTAATCCTGCCTGAAATGTGTAAAATATGAAAAGATTTCAGGGAATGTGTACCGCGGCTTTAGTTGGCAGGAACCTATGCTGCTTCTCACATCCTAACACTTTCAAGGCATGTCATATATTGCCAGATCATGCACCTCAACCGCTGTGGTTTTCCCGTGCGACTTACCGCAGCCCTGTTGGTTCTTGACAGGCCAGACAGGTTCAGGCAAGACCCAGGAGTTGAAGGACATGAGAAGCCACGAGGGGCTGTTGTCTTGCGCTGACTCGAATCCCGCACTGGCGTAGTGGAAGGCGGAGTTGAATCCCTGAGATGAGAAGGAATCCTCGTCCAACACAAACCCCAGGGCGAGGTCTGTTGGTACAGAAGGGTTAAGGAAAACAAGGGGTACTTGATGAGGAGTCCTCATCCAACACAAATCCCAGCACCAGGTCTGTGTAACAGTGGGACAGAAGACAAAGTGTGCACAACAGACCCACAAGCCAAAACAAACAACCGAGGGCTAAATCTGTTGGTGAGGTTCAAAACCACGAGTCAGGTACAAAAGCACGAGACTGAAAGGATGTAAGAAGGTGATTGCCAAGCATACTCACTCGATGGGTCAAAGCGCAGGTTGAGTGGGACATCTGCACACACAGCAGCCAACCACCAAGCAGCGAGAGATGCGGAAGTGGGAGCAAAGGCAGTTGCTCTGACAACCTTTTTTCGTTACATAACTAGGATGTGTGAATCAGGAACGAAAGCAACCAGTGCCAAATACCAAGGGTTGGATAGGGAATGAGATTGTTGATGTTCTGCGCAGATACACATTTTCCCAGCAGATCATTCTGGTAGGTGCGAAATTCGTCCAACTCAGGCTCAAGCCAAGATTGTTGCTGCACACTTGGTTGCTCCCTAGGTTACAGGTCGTGATGTTGTGCACAAAAAGCCCGTCATTTTCCAATGAAAACAAGGTAAGTGTAAATAAACAAGGTCGAATGCTTTTCCGAAACCAGCAAACATTTGCCAAAACAAATCAAGACCACAGTGAAGTCCCACCATAATCTAGGGTCCCAGGCTTCAGAGACACATACCCGCCGTGAATGTCCAGTTGAGAACGGAGTGTGCTTGTGGACCAGCCGTGGACGAAGCTGTGAAGCCCATATGGAATGCAGCAGAGGACGCCTTGGGCTGCAGGATGGAGCAGAGGGACACTCGAACGCGGAGGGCAGGGGCGAGGGGCTGCACGGGGTCGGAGGAGAGGAAGAGTCGGAGAGTGCCGCCGCTGGTGGGGTCGTAGTGGATCCAGGCGTGCTTGGTTTGGGCGTCGTTGAGGATGAGAGGGGCCGTGGCAGAGGCGAGGGAGACAGGTGAGCCGCCCACATTGACGCCCACGTGGTTGTCGTTGGGGTCACTGTGCTTCACATTTAGCACCGAGTCAAACTCCACGCCCACACTCCGCCGCCCCACCCCTCCCAGCCTGTCTGGCAGCGCGGCAGCGACGACAAACAGGAGCCCATCCCCGCCGGCCTCTGAGTCGGGGTCGAGGGAGAAGGCAAAGGAGGCGTTGAAGGCGAACTGGTAACCGCATGTGGCCTTGGTGTTGAAGTACGAGAAGAGGGGCAGAGGCGCGGCTGTGAAGGCCGTGCCCCTGGTGCCATTGGCCCTCGGGGTGAGCAGCAGGGCGCCGCCAGTAGAGCGTAGTGCAGAGCCACTCAGAGCCATGAGTGAGGTGGCAGAGGAGGCAGTGATGGGGTCAACTGGAGGAAGGGGACAAAGGACGGAGAGAAATATATCACGAGTTAGTTCACACTGCTGCAATAAATGATGCAACTTGTAGTGATTAGAGAATGATACTACATGATTTTGTGTAGAAAACGGTAAAACATGATTAATTAGGAATCGACAGGGGAGGGGGGTGAGAGAAGCTCGAGAGATATGGCTTCATACAAGAGAAAAATGAGTGGGGGCATGGTGGTGCAGTTAGAACAATATGCACGCATGTGTCAAACAGTGAGGGATTCAAGTCGAGATTCGCTTTGCTTTCCTGTGTATGTGCATGTGTGGGGGCCATTGCGAGTGGAGTAGTGTGCCTCGCACACACACTCGCCCGTGCTGCTGCTGTCGTTCATGAAGCAGTACCCATGACCACTGCACAGCGCCCCGCCCTGCCCCACCCCACAGAATGCTGCACAGCTCGCGTTGCTCCTCTGCTCGTGGTTCACCCCGCACAGGGCGGTCGGCAGGCAGTTGTCAAACAGCAAGAAGCGAACAGCGGAGCAGTTTTTAGGGCGGGTGGGGGCGGAGGAGAAGTAGTTGCTCTGGACGTCCACAACTGCCAGGGCCTTGGACGCTGGGATGGGCACATCTCCCGTGAACTGGTTGTAGCTCGCCACTCTGAGGGCGGGGATATGATAGGGACCATTGAACGAAACGCGACAGCAGGGATGGAGAGGTAAGAGGTTGCGTGAAGGTTGCGACAGCACAGTGCACGCACTGACAGAGGTGGAGAGGATGTCGTGGACAGTGCACTCTTTGATATAACCAGCATGTTAAGGCGAGCCCGTAAGCCACACTTCTCCCTGCTTACAGCTCCTTAAGGCTTGTCATGGGAGCCACGATGGGCAACAAGGGCCCCGATAGAGATGTGGAAGACAGCTCCCTGCCACACACGTGCAAGTGTGTACAAAGGGGTACTCTTGAGTCGGGCAATTGGATGCATGACGTTCATAATCCTCTGCACACTGCTTCAGGTTTAGTACAGAGCTGAGGGAATCTGAAGTCCCAGAATCTGCCTGGAGCAGCTGAGTGCACGGCAGAGGCAGGAAGTGCCTACTTCGCCCATGCAACCACGGCGGGCGTGCATATTCAGTGGCAACCAGCAACGGCATGCCTGGAGTGGATAAAGTCGTGAATCATGCTAACATGCCATTTCTATGAATCAAGTGGCACGGCACCACTCACAGGTATTGCAGCTTCTGCAGGGAGCCATTTCTGTAAATCAAGTAGCGTTGAACTGCTTACAGGTATTGCAGCTTCTGCAGGGAGCTGAGAGCGAGAGGCACAAGGCCATGGAGGCGAAGGCCACGAAGGGAACTGCGGGCATCGGGAGAGGATGTTCCGGATGATGTGAGCAATCAAACGAACCCGCGGGAAGAGTTATGGGTGTTCACTGTGCACTGCTGTTAAGGGTTCAAGTCACGATGGTGGGGCCAATGGATAGAGAGTTGACTTGGCACGCACTCAGACACAAGCGATCAAACAAGTAAAGGGCATCGAGATAGATAAGGGCTTAGGATATGGTGGAATCAGTCAACGTACAGTGAGCAACTTCAGCAAGCAAGCCGCAACTCAGACCAGAGAGATCGAACGAGTCAAGTGCATCAAGATGGCTCACAGGACTTGCAGGTTCTTCAAGCTGGCTAGTGCCGATGGCATGGTGCCTGAGAAGTCATTCCCGCCCAGCATCCTGCGAGCAAGGGCGAGAGAAGGCAGTGTGGTGCTCATGCTCGCTGGGCACGAGGCAGAAAGCTGGTGCTGGGCCAAACAGAGGAGACTACACAGAGGAGGGGGTGAGAAACCAGGCCCTGAACAGACCCATGCAGCCCTTGTTTCATCCCTTTGTCTCTGACTGACTCACAGGTAGCACAGCTGAGTGAGGGCTCCAAGGGCCGAAGGCAGGCTTCCATCAAGCCGGTTGTACTCCAGGTGCCTGCAGTGGGGATAGCCACCGGTCGAGTCAAATGAACCCATATTGCACACAGGGTGATACAGCACACACCCCACAATGCAGTACAGTACACCCTCTGCCTTTGAGAAGAGTGTGAAAAGAAGGACAAAAGCAAGCATGGATGAATTCACTGCCTAGACTGCACGTCTGCTTCACAGCAAGCATGAGCCTGAAGTAGGCTTGAGCAAAATGCCAGCAAGGGTTGGATAACTGGACCCGGATCCGTGTTTAAGGCAAGGTTTACAAAAACGGCGTTTTTTTCATTTTTAGGCGGTTTGCTACGGTACCGTATTTTTCGGCCGTTTTATTCGGTATAAAACGGTTGAAGATATCTGATTTTTTTTGGTAAAAAAAATCGGCCGAATTTTTCAAAAAAAAGAGTTAAAAATACTGACGAAATGCGCGGATCTGGCATTTCGCCAGCTGATATGCGCGGATCTGGCATTTTTCCTGCCAAAATGTGTTGGATCCCGTGTTTTGGTGGACGAAATGCACAGATGTGACATTTCGTCCACTAAAATGCGTGGATCTGGCATCTCCCCGCCAAAATGTGCATGTCTCGCGTTTCGATGGACGGAATGCGCGGATCAGGGCAGACGTTTAGGCTTTCTACGAAATGTGTGTGTGTGTGTTTTTTTTTTTCGATTTAATTCGGAGTGTCCTATTAAAATTCGGAGTTTTTTTCCCCAAAATCACCGAAAAAAACGATCGAATAAAACGGCCTGCCGAATTTTTCCACCTTGGTTTAAGGCAATTCGGGTCGGGTATTCGGATTCTCATGAATTATCCGGCGGGTTGGTTCCAGGTACCCGCCGCCGGCCGGGTATTTGGTACCCACTACTACCCGAGTTGTCACTCGACCGGCCGGATACCGGGTACCCGTCGGGTAGATAATTAATACCCGGGTTCGGGTAATACTCTGTTTTCTTCGGGTAATACACCCACTTTCTTTTGTTTCGGTTTTTGTGCACTCCTGCACTCCTGGACAGACCCAGCCATGGCAAATGAGGGAGAATCAGAGTTTGTTTAGACCTGTATGTAAAGCCCCCTTGTTAAAAAGTTTACACTTCCTTGGGGAAGGAAGACTCTGATTGGTAGGCGAGGTGAGAAAAAGGGACGAAAGAGAAACGCAGGAGGCGAGGCCTTTTGGTTTCGGTGAAATTTCCAAGCTAGAAATTGGCTTGCAATAGGTTTTACACATCCAGTTGGTTGGTCCTCTTTCCACTTTGTTTCCAGCAGTCGATTTGGACTTTCAGTCGCTGAACCGTCAGATCCAAACTTCTAGACGATCTAACGTCCAAATTCCTTGTTCTTCCGTGAAGTTGCTCATTCTCATGTTTCACTGAGAGTTTACAATCTGTCTCCCCCCGAGGCGTTTCCTAGCCTGTCCCCTCCATATCACCAGTGTAACTGAGGACCAAGCATTGTACTTTTGGTCGCAACCTAGAATTATGAGATTCGGGCTTTTAGGGCGGGTAGCCATACCCGTTTTTTACCATTACCGGGTCGGGTATATCCGGACCCGCCAGGTGGGTATTGTATTACCCGCGCCCTAAGACCGGGTCTGGGTAAGGGTCCTGGGTAGGGTTGATCATACTACCCGCCCGGGTCGGGTACCCGGTACCCGGATCCGCTTTTAGGGCGGGTCGGGTATCAGAAATCCTGAATATTACCCAGCGGGTCGGATCCGGGTTACCCAGGCGGGTATTCAACACCCGGTACCCGAAATCGGGTAGCGGTCTACCCGACGGAACCAGCGAGACATTGGTAGAGAAATTTCAGCTAGTTTCTAGGTTACGTGAGCTGCTAGGTCACTTAGAGCATTGTAGATTGGCAGGGGTTGGGTTTCGTAGATACAGATGCATTCAAAGTGGTTGAATTGGGGGGAATTGGTTGAAATTCAAACCAATCAAATTTCCCCAATCGAATTTGCAACCCAACCTGAATCCAACCAACCGCACAGCACCACATTGGTTGGATTTCCAACCAATTGACTCTGGGGGTCAAAGAATCAAACCCCCTAAAACTGCACACAACCCCATCCCAACTAGAAAACCCAACCAACTCCCCACTCAGGCCCCACTCACGACCTACTCACCACACCAGAACTGTTGAAGATTTGGCGCACCTCATACTCCCTCCCGCAACTCACGTTTTTTCAAGCACTATCTAGGTCGTAAGCTTAGTAGCCCAACAGGGTAGAAAAACGCGGGTAATACTACCCGCTTTTCAAGGAAACCGGGTCGGGTATACCCGGACCCGCCAGGCGGGTATTAAATTACCCGCCCCCAAATCCCGGGTCCGGGTATTGGTCCTGGGCATGTTACCCGACCCGTACCCGACCCGAAAATACCTGACCCGAAGTCGGGTACAGGAAAACCGGGTCGGGTCGGGTAAATACCCGGTTTTGCTCATGCCTAGTCCTGGGTAGGCTTGAGCAACGGGTCGGGTCGGGTAACCCGACCCGAACCCGACTTTTTGACGGGTCGGGTCGACATTTGCGGAGGGTCGACCCGACCCTCGGGTACCCGACCCGACCCGACCTGACCCGACCGATAAAACCCGACCCGTCGGGTCGGCTTATTACCCGTCCCTGCCCCTATGCCAACCCGACCCAACCCGACCCGAAATCGGGTCCGTTAGTACCCGACCTATTAAACCCGGGTCGGGTTGACATTTCCTGAACTCCGACCCGACTTGACCCGACCCGACCCGACCCGAACCCGACATCGGGTAGGGCAAAGTCGGGTCGAGTCGGGTCGAGTCAGGTTCATGCTCAAGCCTAGTCCTGGGCATCTAAGTGGGAAAATTCGCGTTTTGCGTAAATTCGCCCGAACGCCAAAGCCCTGTTTTGAATTCGTTGGGAAATTCGTTCCGCCCGGGCAAGAAAAAAATGCCCGAACAGGCCCAAATAAAAGTTCCCAGGCAAGGGGAGCGTGGGGGGTTTCAGGGCAACTCTTTTTAAGCAAGAAAGATTTAGCACGAAATAAATATTCCTTCTCAAAGTTTATGGCCATAGCATGTTTTAGAGTTTGGGGGGGATGTAGGGTTGAGCATACTACCCGCCCGGGTCGGGTACCCGGTACCCGGATCCGCTTTTAGGGCGGGTCGGGTATCGGAAATCCTGAATATTACCCGGCGGGTCGGGTCCGGGTTACCCGGGCGGGTATTCAATACCCGGTACCCGAAATGCTACCCGACGCGTCGGGTAGCGGGTACCCGACCCGAAATCGGGTAGCGATCTACCCGACGGAACCAGCGAGACATTAGTCGCGCTGGTAGAGAAATTTCATCAAGTTTCTAGGTTACATGAGCTGCTAGGTCACTTAGAGCATTGTAGATTGGCAGGGGTTGGGTTTCGTAGATACAGATGCATTCAGAGTGGTTGAATTGGGGGGAATTGGTTGGAAGTCAAACCAATCGAATTTCCCCAATCCAATTTGCAACCCAACCTGAATCCAGCCAACCGCACAGCACCACATTGGTTGGAGTTCCAACCAATTGACTCTGGGGGTCAAAGAATCAAACCCCCAGAAACCGCACACAACCCCATCCCAACTAGAAAACCCAACCAACTCCCCACTCAGGCTCCACTCACGACCCACTCACCACACCAGAACTGTTAAAGATTTGGCACACCTCATACTCCCTCCCGCAGCTCACTTTTTTTAAGCACTATCTAGGTCGTAGGCTTAGTAGTCCAACAGGGTAAAAAAACGCGGGTAATACTACCCGCTTTTCAAGGAAACCGGGTCGGGTATACCCGGACCCGCCAGGCGGGTATTAAATTACCCGCCCCCAAATCCCGGGTCCGGGTATTGGTCCTGGGCATGTTACCCGACCCGTACCCGACCCGAAAATACCCGACCCGAAGTCGGGTATAGCAAAACCGGGTCGGGTCGGGTAAATACCCGGTTTTGCTCATGCCTAGGGGGATGCTTCGCAAGAACAGCCCTGCCGCTATATACAGCAAAATCATACTCGTGAGGTAAGCTAATGTCTATGCGGTAAGCTATTAGATCTACTAGCTAGGACGCGGAGTGATTAGCTAGATCTACTCTACATCTGGTAGAGTAGCGTGTGAGATGCGTGTTATGGTTGCATAAGTTGTGTTAGGTTGTGGATGGGTTGGGTTATCTAGATGCGGTGGGGTTTGATGCGGTTGGGAGAGTGGGAGGGGTTGGGAGCATGTTTGGAGGTAGACATGGGCACAAGCCGAGCCACATCCGGCTCGGCTCGGCTCGGCTCGCCAAAATGACGAGCCGAGCCTTTCTTTTCGGGATCTGGCTCGACTCGAGCCGAGCCGGCTCGGCTCGGTCGAGCCAGCCGGCTCGACTCGGCTCGTACACAATGTCCTCGTCGAGCTGGGGTCGAGCCGGCTCGTCCCCGGCTCGATTTCGAGCCAGGTGGCTCGCCACTCGATTTCAATGGTAAATTTCCCCCTCGACAAAACGTGTCTCCCGTTTCTCTCTCCCGCCAACAACTCCTAGTCTATGTTCCCGAAATCGCTCTAGCGGTGCAGCGTTTATTGTTTAAACGCTGCGTTTAAAGGGTAAACGCTAAACGCTCGCCCAAAATGTTTGACGCGGAATTCTTTCCCGCGACATTGCGACCTCGCGAATTCAACCAGTCGCAACCCCAAACTTTGACGACCAAAAACACATCCAACCCTTTTGCCCCGCTCAACCGCACTGCACACTACTGCATCTACAACTTCCAACCTAACCTCTTGCACCCTCCTTCCTCCTCACAATCCACTTCCCGTCAATTTCGCGAACCCTAGAATTCTGCGCGCCTAGGAGTATCTCATTGAGTTAGTTCGCGCGAGAAATCTTAAGCAGCCGGCGCCACTCTTAACAACGCGCGCTTGCATAGGCTCCACCCACACTACTGTTGGCTTAAGCGCATGCTAGGCGAGTCGAGCCGAGCCGGCTCGCCGTCGAGCCAGCCCTGGCTCGCCCACAGAAATGCGAGCCGAGCCAGGCATGTTTGGTGCCCGGCTCGACTCGAGCCGAGCCAGGCTCGACGGCGAGCCGGCTCGGCTCGACCCCCGGACGAGCCGAGCCGAGCCAGGCTCGGCTCATGCCCATGTCTATTTGGAGGTTCAAAAGTTAGAATCGCAAATTGGCGAGGCCACTGATGGCTTCGCCAAGTTGTCGCGAATCGAGTGGGAAAATTCTCTTTTTTTGTCCGGCCTGCCCGGAAAAAACCCCCCCAGCGTTTCGCGAATTTCTGGTAAATTCACAACCGAGAATTTACGCTTACGAATTTACACAAAATCCTGGGGGACCCCAACGAATTTGCCCACTTAGCTGGGCATATTACCCGACCCGCACCCTACCCGAAAATACTCGACCCCGAGTTGGGTATTGCCTAACCGGGTTGGGTCGGGTAAATATAGGCTTGAGCATGAACCCGACCCGACCCGACCCGACTTTGCCCTACTCGATGTCGGGTTCGGGTCGGGTCGGGTCGGGTCAAGTCGGGTCGGAGTTCGGGAAATGTCAACCCGACCCGGGTTTAATAGGTCGGGTACTAACGGACCCGATTTCGGGTCAGGTCGGGTCGGGTTGGCATAGGGGCAGGGACGGGTAATAAGCCAACCCGACGGGTCGGGTTTTGTTGGTCGGGTCGGGTCGGGTCGGGTCGGGTACCCGAGGGTCGGGTCGACCCTCCGCAAATGTCGACCCGACCCGTCAAAAAGTTGGGTTCGGGTCGGGTTACCCGACCTGACCCGACCCGTTGCTCAAGTCTAGGTAAATACCCCGTTTTGCTCAACCCTAGCTTGAAGGCATGAGCTCCAAGAACACACACTTAGACATGGGCAAAAAAAATCACATCGCATCGCATTTAATCGCATTTTTGCGATGGCGATGTTTTTTAAACAAAAAAAAAATCATCGCGCGATGCGATGAATTAATATCGCGCGATTTAATTTAAATCGCATTTTAATCGCGCTTAAAAAACGCGATTTAAATGCGATATGCGATTTTTAAAAAATCGCGCGCAATATTGCACTGAAACCCACTCTGAAACCCACTACGAAACTACACTGGTTATTTGCACTCTAGCTTACGACTGCCCGTGAGTCAATTTCCCCGCAGCCATGGTTTTTTTCTGTTTTGTTGGGGTGTTTTTTATTCTGTTTTAAAACGCGATGCGATTTAAAATCGCATTGCGCGATTTAATTAAATATCGCATGCGATTTTTTTATACATCGCGGGTAAAATGCGATGTGCGATTTTTTTTTTTGGAAAAATAAATCGCGCGATGCGATTTAAAATCGCATCGCTTTTTTAAACATCGCACCTGCATGCAATGCGATTTAAATCGCAATCGCGTTTTGATCATGTCTACACACACTAAACACTTGCTTTAGCAGCTGTTGGCCAATAACTGTAGCCACGTGAGGAAGATTCCAAGGCTTATGTGGACCATACGCAGGACCATAGCACTAGCAGGAGCAGCATGGGTCGATCACACTTCCAGCGGTGCAGAATTCAGTGCTTACAGGCGTGTCAGTCCTTGCAGCTGGATCAGGGAGTTCGGCAGACTCCCACTGAAACTGTTGAAATCTAGATTCCTTGAGAAGCAGAAAGATGATGATGCAGATAGGCGATAAGGCGGAGGATTGCAAGAGGAGAGACTCCAACAAGAGGAAGGCATTGGAAAAGGCTCTCAAAGATGCACAGGGGAAAAAGGAACTGCAACGCATGCGAGAAATTGCAGCTACCGACCTCTTTAAAAGCTGTTCAAGTGTGGCCTAGGTTAGGCAGACCATGCTCTTGCAGCCAGAATCAGTCCTGCCCTGGAGTCAGTGTGGCTGCCTGCCCAGCCACACGATATTCTAAAAAAAAGCATGTGGCGCGCTCAATAGTATCCCATGAGGCAGTGCCGCTCACAAGGTGACAAGGTTGGTGAAGGAGGTAATGAAGGGTGGAAGTGGACCGGACAGGGCGTTGCGGCCGAGTCTCCTGCAGCACACACAGCCACACACATGCTGCAGCTCTTGAGTGGCAAAAACAGCAACAACATCGTCTAGTATGCATATGAGCACTTCAAAGAAGGCGAGAAATTCGAGGGAAGGGGGGAGGACAGGTAGGGGGTGGGTGGGTTCGAGAAGAATATTGTGTATCATTCTAACAAGTATTGCAGCGAATGTTGCCATAATGAACGTGGAAGCAGCAGCAGCAACCACTTACAGGAGATTGAGTTTCTTCAAGCGTGACATCTCGACGGGCACAGAGCCCTCCAGACTATTTCCTTGAATTGCACTGCAGCAAAGCAACAGAGACGCCCGCAACGCACAAGAAATTGCAAGCGATGGGTTTAATGGTATGAATGTGGCAAAGGTCGGCAGCGGTATCTGCCTGTCCACCACACTGACAAGCGAATTAATCTACCCAGACTAGACGACTGTCCAAGTGCAAAACGTCTTATTACCCAATTGAGAGCTGAGCAGGGCCATAAGGCACACTAACGCAAGCACCCTTTGTAAAAAGCGTGACGTTGTATGCATGTGCTACTCCGTGAATAGTGCTTGCATGACCCCATTGTACGTCGCTACCAGGAACTCTCATGCCATGCCACACGCCATGAGCTGATGCTTGGCACCCGTGACAGTGATGGCATGCACAGGCTTATCCAGACAACTGTAACACCATATGAGTGAACTTATTCTCTGATTCATTCACAAAATATATTTTGAGTGAGTGAGTTTTCTGAGTTGGGAGGGAGGTCGGTGCTGAATGGGGTGGGTATGGAGAGGGCTCAACGGGAAGGAGGGAAGATCGGAAAGTGTGTGGGTTGGTAGGAAGTGCATGTATTGAAAAGAGAACCAAAGCTGTCTGTCGGGTGATGGGACCATGCCAGCCACTATGCCGAGGCAGTATGCTAAGCTGGTAGGTACCCCAAGCTACTATACCAGGACCGGAAAGCAAAGCCAGTATGCCAAGCCAGCAAGCCAAGCAAGTATGCCAAGACACTATGCAACCAAGTCAATATGCCAAGCTGTATGTCAAGCCAGTATGCCACACCACCACAGTATGCCAATATGCCATGGAACCAGATTAGACACAGAGATGCATTATGTTGCCTGCACAACACAACAGTTTATCTGAACTCAAACTGGATAACCACAACCTCCCAACATCACCTATGGCAGTCTGTTGGATCCTCACATGTATTCCAGGTTGGTCAACTTGCTGATGCTAGTTGAGATAGAGCCAGAGAGATCATTGTAGTTAAGGTCCCTGAAGCAGGAGCGCACAGATGTTGGAGCAAATTGATACAGATACAGAGGTTAAAAAGGCAGATGCGAGAAAAATAAGCTACACATATGAGAAGTTTCATGCAGCTAAAACTGAAGAGAGTGAAAGACACCTAGAGAAAGAGACCACTACCTGGGAAGAAAATGCAGACTGAGCTGTATGTTGTACAGGGACTTGTACAACCAACTTCTGTTCTGAAATGTCCTGATTCTGGCTCCATGTCAGTCAAAACATTTCGCCTTTCTTTCATCCTTTGGCCCACACACGCCCTCATCCGTCACTTGCACAGATCCCTCCCTCTTCTGTTGTCTACAGGGCGTCTCACAGCTTGGTGAGGCTGTGCAGAGTGAAGAGGGCAGATGGCAGCGAGCCCGTCAAGTGGCAGTCAGCCAGAGTGCTGCACGGAGGATGGGCACACGGATAGGCACAGGCACAAACACTTGCAGAGGCAGGTGCACAGACACGGACACAAGCCTAGTCATGCGCAGGCCATGCACAGTGGCAGCAGTCTGCATGGAGGTAATGCTCCTAAGGCACTCAAATGGTGAAAAACGACTGTTCGTAACATCAGTGACCCATGCGGGAAGGAAACGAAAAGCATGGCTGGTAGCACCGTAGCATGGCAGGCAATGTGTTGGGCATGGCAACCTCACAGGGACTGAAGGTAGCTCAGACCGCTTATGGCAGGGGGGATGGGCGTCAGGAGCGTTTGCTCAATGATACTCCTACGCCACAGGGAAACACCAAAACACGGGGGACGGGAGGGGGGAGGGGGGGGACGATGTGGGGCTGAGTGTGCATGCATATGCGCACATGGAGGTAGTGGCATGGCTTGGATGGCTGGCACTGAGTGACCGACTTGGCCCAAATGTTGTGACAGCAACAGCGGCGTGCATGGTAGTTGTATGGTGGAGGTGCCGGGGCATGTGAGATAAGTGCTTACAGGGAGGTAATGAAGCCGTTGGCGTTGCAGGCAATGCCCCACATCTGGCCACACTGCGCACCAGTCCACGAGTCACTTCCATAGAAAGTGCCCCACTCGTCCTTGAGTGCTTTCAAGATGTCCACTGTGATTGCAGCAGCATTGCGGTTCAGACAGTGGCATGCACATGAGGGTGAGAGACGCCGAGCGGGTGCGAGGGGAGGGGGGTGCGGGGGGGGGGGAGAGGGGGGTGGTTGAGGGGGTTTGGGAAGGGAAAGGGGATAGAGACGTTTATAAGTGCACAAGGCTACACACACGACAGCAAAGTTAATGAGGCAGGCAATAAATGCAGGGGTGCACACAGGAAGTAAGGGTCTGGTGCGGTGTGGGAGGCTGAGCCTGAGGAAGTGAGTTCGAGTGGCAGAGAAGGATGTGCACGTCTTCAACACTGGACGGTGAGGTTCACTACTTCAAACCTCCGGGCATGGCAAGTCCCTGCCAAGGAAGAGCATGGCAAGCAGGCAGCCATGGCATGAGGCTGCTGACACGCCAAGACACCACTCTCACGGGTGCCGTACGTTGAGGTATCTGGATGATCTGCGCGGGTGCCTCTCCACACACGCACAGTAGCAGCAGTAGCAGCAGCAGCATGTGAGGGCGTCTGTGTGCATGCCAGGAAACGTTATCTGCACCAAGGAACGAGAGGAGAGGTGAACTCTCACATAATCACGTTTTGCCAGAGTGATAGCAGCATTTGCCAATGCATGGGGCGTTGCTCTATGACAGCAGGGCATGCATCTTCCAGCACGGCGCTGCCTGCCACCTGACCGGCACAGTGAGACGCAGTCTATGGCTGGCATCCTTTGCCTCGTTTGCAATAGCGAGCATTTGGCGGGCATTTGGCAAACCACGGGCCTCCAAGAGGGGCTACCCGAAGGGTCTAGGGTTACCAAATAAGCCAGGGTTATGCCGGTCCCTCCTGCACACACGCCTGCCAAAGCAACCGCCACATGGCGGCCACTCGCACTGGCGGCTGTGGCAGGGGCGTGGGGACGGGAGGTCAGGGGGGTGGCGGACGAAACGCGGTGGTGGGGGTACTAGAGTCGAGGGGAAGTGCACGCGGAGTTGGATACAGCACGGGGAATGGGAGGACGAGGGAAGCATCGTGCGGTACTCCAGCGGGTGATTGTAGGACAAAAAGGCCGTGAGATTGGGTGAGAGGAAAAAACGGACGAAGGTAAACAAGGCCGAGCACAGGACGGGACGCCATTCATGATGTGCAGACGTCATGAGTAGCAGAATCGCGCAGGCGTGATGGCCATCGGCGGCGCCATCATGGGCGCGGCGACGAAGGCAAGCGGCGCAAGGGTGCAGCGGCAAGTCCGCAACGTCATCGTCACCGCCGCTTGTCGAATCCCCTTGACCGTCATGACTCGTACTTGTATCTACCTCTTCTTCCGTGAACGACTTTGCAGAAGGATGTCAAGGCCGCCGCATTTCGCCGACATTTCTGGCAACCTGACGTCCGCCACGGCATGCCGGCACGAAGCTGCCACGGGGAGACAAGAATGGTCAGAGGACGGGCCGCGCGCTGGAGGAGTGGAGAGTGGAATCTAGTGCTGCGCACGGCTGCTATCTATCACGTGCGCAGTCGCAGCGATGCGAGCACAAAACGCGGCGAGAAGCCGTAATGTTGGCATACAAACTTGGAAGTGTTCATGTGTGCTGGATTATTCGTCCTTGTCAGTACAGGCTGGCGTGAGCCGTTATGGAGTTGCAGCAAGGTGTTCTTCAGAAAGTGAATGCGTATATCATATGATGGTACGCATGTAATTAACATACGGGTCTCATACTTCAGGCTAAAAGGGCCTAAAAAGCTGTATATCAAGGTGTTTTTTTAGGGCATAACCTGATTTTTCAGCATTCGATCTTGGCCAAACCTGAAAATTTTGTGTTCGTAGTTTTGTAAGCCAGAAAAAACGTATGTTCTTGTTTAGCCAAACCTGCCTGACGAATCAACCTCTACTGGATTTTCGCCTAAAACAGAAGAACTATATCATGCCACGACCCCCCCCCCCCCCTCAGAAGTTTCGCAAGTGGTCTGAGCGAACTTGGAGCAGGTTCGAGGCTGTGATTGGTTCTCTGACTCGAATCACACCTCACTCCGAGATAATCGGGAGCAGTTGTGAGGGGCGTCACGATGGTTGTCTGAGTAAGCTAGGGCAAGTGTGAGGGACGCGATTTGTCCTTAGAAAAAATTGCACAGAAACAACCAGATGGGGTTTCTGCAGTTCCTTGAAAACACAACTTTTCCTTCAATTACGCAGCGAACTGCACCCGTCGCTGATTCAGCGCGCTTCAAAACCCAAACCTGATTCGTCAGCCTTTCGAAAGATGTAACCTGAAATTTCAGGAAAAAAAAATAATGAAAACTACCCTGACAAAAATGGGTTCTCAGAAGGGCATGCCTGAGCAATCAGCCTCCCTAAAACGAATCAGAGACCCTGGAGTCATATCGTCCTATCACGTCCCCATCGCGTACCATCATCGGGCTGAGAATTTTCAAGCAGATTTGTGTCGCCTTCTTCTGGGCCATCCAATCTAAGTAGAGTTGCCATTTAGTCTTGAGTTTACGACTTCATACTCTATGGGGAATTCGTATGAGGGGTAACTAACATAGGCCCCGCTAACACAGGAGGCTACTCCGCTAACACGAACCCCAACTTTTTCTTTGAGTTTTACCGCAACGCCATACTCCCGTAACACGGGAAGTGACTCCGCCTAGTGACGTTTCCACACGAACGCAAACTTGACGACACTATTGCCCAAAAAGACACGTTTCAACCCGTTTTTTCCCGTGCGCGCGATTTTTACAGTTACGATAAGGAATCTGTTGCATTCCTGAAAGTGACACTCGAGCATTAACCCTTGTCGAGTCCAATCTTATGACACGACGCATGGAGTACGACGGTCATTGACCGTTGACCGACAATCGAACCGACTGAAGTCCAAGGGTCCGTCATGATAGCAAGGACACATAACTGATCCCGTAATACAGCGCAGGCAGTTACCCAGGTCGTGTGCAGTTACCTAAGTCACATCTGGAACCTTATAGGGAATGTACCCCTGTTAAGTGCATCTTAGTTAGACCCTTCGCATTCTCTTGTATCACTATATAAGCCATGTATTCTCTTGCTACAATTAGCACTGTTACGTTACGTTCACTCTGACTGGGTTCATCGACCATCAAATCTCTTCCGCAAAGTGCACTAGTGCAGTTCAATTCCTGAAAATCATACGGACTATAATGGATCACTTCATGGTACACACAGCCTATCAGGATTCAATGCACGACAATTTTAATTGGATTCAAATTCAAATATTGTGGTGCCAGTGACCCACTCCCACCACAAAATGGCCCCAGGCTCGGGATCACGAGGGCAAGGAACCCCTCCTCCTGAAGCACCTGCAAACACTCCGAATCCAGCGACAACAACATGCGTCCCCACTGGACTCCTCGAAAAAATACTTCAACGAATGTCAACCCTTGAAGAAGGACTTCAATCTCTCAAGATCGACGGCATGAGCACCGCTCGCCAAAACACTGAAACGCAACCAACCTCTGCAGACAGGGACTCCACTCCTGTCTTCTTCAACTTTGACGCTTTCAACCCTCAACCACCTGCAAGCATACAATTAAGTAATGTAGCGTTGTAGACCATGCAATCAAAATTCTATGCAGTTTCAATATCAGAACATGCTCAATCTTCGACAGTCGCGATTTCTATACGTGGAGTTTCGAGTTCGGGTTACTACTCCAGAGCGCTCAAATCTTCTGCTGTTTTGACGAAACTTACTCTGAATCAATGATTGACACCAAAGACGCAAAACAGTCATACTACAACAAATTGCTCATGGCGTACCGCGTCCTTCTACGAAACCTATCAGTTTTTGAGCAACTTGGAATTCGATCGTTCAAAACATGTGCCGCTCCCGTACGAGATTCATGGCTGTACGTGACAAACCTCTATCAGCCGAAGGACTCCGTGTCATCGAGTCGACTACTCCGCCAACTGCTATAATTGAAGATGGTCTCAAGAGAAGAGGCCAACACTTACATCAACCGCTGCTGAGGCATCCGCGACCAGATCGTCAAGCTCGGGAACACAATCAGTGAAGATATATTCATGAAGATCATGCTCGCTGAACTTACCCCCGAATGGCGACCGTGCAAGGCACTATCCTGCTGGTAGGGCAAAATTTCTGAAGCGACCCTTTGCACGACACTGCTGGCTGAGCAGCAGGATATGGACCTCTACAAGGAGAGAGCTCCGCGCAAAGAGAGGCGCCTTCTGCTCGGGCCAGAAGGAGCCACGCCGCGACACGCGCAGTCACCGCAATTTTTGCAAACACTGCAAAACCTTTGGACACTCTACTAAACACTGCCAAAATCAAGCAGGAAGCAGCGCATGACCGTATTATACGCCTAACCCACGTGAAATTCCATGGGGCCACACCCAACAAAGGAGACCATGGACCCTTCCCCCCAGGACCCACGCCAAACTAGTCGCTTGTCCCACACAGACCAGCGACCAATCCTGTGCCCTCCTGCATCCTCAGACCCTCGTCCGACTCAGCCAGGATCAAATGGTCAACCAATCCATTGCCAGGTCTTCATGGCGATGAGAGCTCGGGGTTCCACGTGTCAAGCAAATCGACATCGTCGCACACCACAAACGTGCCCAAGTCCCTGTTGCGGATCAGATTTGTGATGCTCTGCATTCCCTGTATGCTGATGCTTCTAGTGTGTCCGGACCTTATTACCCAGTGTTGCCTAGTTTAGGTTTCCATCCGTTGTGTAGTCCAGACTCCCCTGCTGTGTCAGGTATAGGACCTTCTGCCTTGATTAGTCTAGGCTCCACGCTCGCTCCTCCACCGGCTGCAGCTTCTGCTTCGCTGTCCTTAACGCTTGACTCTGGTGCGTCTGCCTACTTCTTGCGCGACCACATTGCGCTCTCGCCACTTGCCGCGCCTGCCGCTGTCGCGCTTGCTGACCCCTCCTCCGATCCTGTCGTTGCCCATAGCTACACTACCCTTCCCTGTCCAGTGGTTCCCTCAGTTTCTCTTACAAGCCTGCACATCCCTTCGTTCTCCAGGAATCTAGTTGGTGTTGGCTGTCTTCCGGACCTCAGCGTCACAACTACGTTTCTTGGTCACGAGCGTTATGCTGTCTGTACCGAGGCCACCTCAGGTGCCCCCCTTGCGACATTCCCCCCGGACCCGGTGTCTGGCCTATTTACGCTGGACAATGCTTCCCCCTCGGTAGGCACGTCCTCCCCGGGTCCTGCGTCTACCCAGGTCGCTACGGTTTGCTCGTGTCGGTCGCTCACTCACCAATCGCATCTGTTGCACCACCACCAATGTCACCCCGCACTCCCCCGTCTGCGTCACATGTCTCAGCACAGTGCGCGAGCTATAGCAGCGCCGCCAGGCCTGCGTAGTACACTTGACCTTCGGTGCCAACACAGCTGATATCTTTACTAAGGCGCTTGCATCTAAAGATCATCAGCGGCACTGTTTGCAGCTTGGTCTAGTTTCTGTAGCTCCTCACTTGCTAGGACATTGATTGTGTACTCCTCTTTATATATACCTTCCAGACTGGCCTTGTGGCTTCTCTTCTAGTGGCTGGACTAGTAGTGCCACCCTGATTTGCTCTTGTCTTGTTTGTACTCTTCCTGACTGGTCTTCGAACCCCTACCTCAGAGGTTGGAATAGTAGTGCCACCCTGAGGTGCATGTTTCTTGCGCAGCACTACCCCTTATCTAGCTTAGGGGGTGTGTCAACTTATACATGTGTTTATATGTAGAAGTTATAGGCTAGATAGGTTTGTGTTCATAGAGGGTACAACACCAACCCTATATCTCCCCTATTCTCAATTGTTCTAGTCATTCTGCTATTCTAACAGCTCGCCCCCCGTCTCACAGGAACCGCGCTACTAAGCGGAAGCGGAATTCCTACACCGCCAAGGAAAAGCTCTTCTGGCTTGGGCGTCTTAAGAAGGTCAAGATAAAGAACGAGGTGGCTCGAGAGGCAGGCGTCTCGCGCTGTCGCATCAACGAGTGGATTAAGGCTGAGCACGAGCTGCAGTGTGCCGCTGTGTGTCGTAAGCGACTTCACGGCCATGGACGTTCATCGTGGTACTCTGACATGGAAACGCAAGTGTACTCCCGCTTCCTTGCCGCGCGCGCTGTCGGTTACCCTGTCCCCGTGTCGAAGCTCCAGACGTGGTCGCTGGAGCTAATGAAGCAACTGCATCCGGAGGTGAAGTGGCAAGGTTCCCACCGTTGGACTGAGCGGTTCAGAGCTCGTTGGAACCTCTCCATTCGTGCGAAGACCAAAGTCGGTCAGAAATTGACCGCCGGTATGTTTTGTTCTCCTGTTTATTTCTCTGCTTTGCCATTCGAACCTCTACGTTGCTCACTGGTGCCCATGCTTGTTGAATCTCTAACAACGCCTATTGACCGTTGACTTTCGCATGTGTTTTTCACCCCCGCCATTCTCCCTCCCTAAGCGTGCCAGGTCGAAGTCGAGACTTCCTCGCGCTTCTGTCGTGAGGTCCGTCGAATGTACGTAATCGAGGAGCGCTGGATCATCAACGCTGACCAGACACCCCTTTGGTTCAAGATGCCAGCCGAGCGCATCGTCGAGGAAATCGGCACAAACAGCGTCCATATGCTTGTTGTTTTCTTGCTTGTTCTCCGAGTGCTCCATGACTCCGTGGCTATTTTTTTTATACGCGCAGGCAACATCAAGAAGCCCCCGCTAGAGGAGATCCTTTAGTGGATCTCCAAGGCGTGGAGGGCAATCCCGGCGTCCCTCATTCAAAGGGCATTCAAGACTTGTGTTGGGCTGAGAAAAGCCCTTAGGATCTTTTGCAGAGACTAAGTCCCAGCTTGTAGAGACTTGAGACTTGGAGTAGTGCAGCGGAAGTTGAGACGGTTGAACCCTTGTACTAGTATGTGAGAACAAGTGATTGATTAAAGAAACAAGCATACAGCAATATATAGTAGATAAGAAAGCAGTTGTAGAATACAGTTACAGGAACGGTTTATCGAGTCGCACAGCGACTCGATTGCCGCTTCGGTTACCATCCGTGATGTTGTAACGGTCAGTCGCAACCTCCAGTTGCGACCTTTCGAGTCCTTTCGCATTCTTTGTCCGCCCCCTCGTGTAACCTCCGTTGACTCGCGTGCTCCCCTGTAGTCTTCCTCGAGTACAGTGTTACACTTCAGAAACGCTTAAGTCCTTGAGATATTTCCAACACTCCCCTTCGTTTCTGGAGTGCTGGAGTGTTCAGATCTGGTGGCGTTTGTTTGCCCGGTTAGGAGCATGCAGTAGTCGAATTTTGCTTTCGCCAATTTCTTCGTCAGATAATCTGCGGCCATTTCTGTCGTCGGGCAGTAACTGAGTTGAAGTCTCCCCTTCGCGATTTCATCCTTGACGAAGAAGTACCGCAGGGCGATGTGCTTGGTTCGATTGGCGAAGCCGTCCTTGTTCGCGATTTTGATCGCAGATTGGTTGTCGCAGAGGAGTGAGAAGGCGGGCAGGGTCGCGATCTTCGCTTCTTCGAGTAACTCTCGTAGGTAGAGTCCTTCCTTGGTCGCAGTACAAAGGGCGATATACTCTGCTTCAGCCGAGGATAGTGCGATTAACTCCTGCTTGCTCGACTGCCAGGAGATAGTTCCGATAGGTTCTAGTCGGTAGATGTAGCCCGTCCTAGACCGTCGATTTTCGCTGTCTCCCGCGTGGTCGGCGTCGACGTATCCGAGTAGTCGTACGGACGGTGTTGTTGCCTTGCTGTAGGTAAGCCCGATCGTCGGCGTGGAGACGAAGTAGAGTAGCGCTCGATTGAGTTCTTCGAGATCTTCCTGTTGCGGATGCTTCAGATGTGTCGCCAGCTGACTCGCACTATAGGATAGGTCGGGTCGGCAGGTTACTGCTGCGAATAGTAGGCAGCCGAGCTTCTGTTGATACTCCTGGATTTGTTTCGCGGGGAGTTTTGTAGAGGCGCTGCCGTTGTTCCCGTAGCGGTAGGGAGTTGGGACCGCAGTCGGTGTTAGAGCGAATTTCTTCGCGACGGTGCTTGAGTACTTTCCAGCGTGTAGGTAGAACGCCGTGTCGTCTTCGACGACGTTCAGTCCTAGGTACTGCGTAACTTCGTCGGACACCGTGAGAGTTAAATCTTCTTTCAGCTCCCCTTCGAACCAGGTGGCGATGTCGGTAGTTGAGCCGATGTAGAGCAGGTCGTCGACGTAGACGATGAGCAGAACATACTCTCTTCCCTTCTGCAGTCGGTACATCCCTTGGTCATGCGGCAGCTGTAGGAAGCCGATTTTTACGAGACGGCTGTGAAGATGCTGCTGCCAGAGCCGCGGGGCTTGCTTGATCCCGTATAGGGATTTTGTCAGTCGGCATATTTTCGTGGGGTCGTCGATGAATCCGTGGGGTTGTTCGACGAAGATCTCAGCGTCCACAGGTGCGTATAGGAACGCATTCGCGACATCGATTTGGCGTAGTGGTAGTGTTTTTGTGGCCGCGACGGCGAGTAGGATGCGTAATGAGGTGTGACGGGAGACTGGGGCGAAGGTTTCTGTGTAGTCGGTTCCGTATCGTTGATCGAAGCCTCGTACGACCCATCGAGCTTTGAATCGTTCGATGGAGCCGTCTGAGTTGGTCTTGATGCGGTACACCCATTTCCCCGAGAGAACGTTCTTCCCGTTGATGCTCGTTGCAGGTACCAGTTTCCATGTTTCTCGGTCTTGCAGAGCTTTTAACTCCTTTTCCATCGCTTCTTTCCATTTTGCCTTATGTTCCCCCCCCAGAGCCTGCGACAAGGTTGAAGGCTCACGCGTAGAAGGCGGCGGCGGATGCTGGACGGAGACCCAGAGGCCTAGAATCTGGAGTCCCGTGGGTGTGTGTCGAGGGGAATTGTCATTCCCCGAATAAGCTGCTTCGTCACCGTCTTCGGGGTCAGGTAAGAAATTGGGGCCGATGCGTTCCGAAATATTCGTGTCGACGGGGTGCGGTGTAGCGTAACCTTGGTCGGCGAAGTGGTAAAAGGTGTCGAGGTTGTTGCTATCGAGGGGATTATCTTCATCGAGTGGAACAGGTATGGAACAGAATGGGAGTGGCCCGGCAGCTTCCGAGGCTCCAGGTACGTCTTCTTCTGCTGCGTCAGCCTCGGCAGCATGGTCAGCGAAGGAGCGAAGGCCCGCGAAGCCGTCGGTGGGGTCGTCTGAGTTGGCAATGTTGTCCAGGTAATGCTGCAGCGTCAGTCGCTCGTAGAAGATAACATCACGTGATGCCACCGTATTTTTGTCTTGTATGTCGAGGATCTTCCACGCGTGAAAATGTTTGGCGATGCCGAGGTGTAGTCCCCACCGAGCTCGTTGAGTGAAGCGTCCTGCTCGAGCTGTGTGGGGTCTGTATTGTACCATGCAGCCGAAAACTCGAAGTAATTTTGTGCTGCCCCTTTTTCCCGTCCACAGCAGGTGTGGTGATGCGTTGTTGGGGAGCGATGACGAGGACAACAGGTTGTGCAGGTGGACTGCATGTGTCATCGCGTCTGGCCACAGTGCGTTGGGCAGCCTCATCCCCAGAAGCAGTTTTCGCATCGTCGTCTGCAAGGTCCGGTTCATGCGTTCTGCTACCCCCTGCTGCTGGTGAGCATAGGGCAGAGACACCAGGCGTCGGATTCCCCTTTCCGCGAGATAGGTCCTGAAGCGTTGTGACTGGTATTCCAGTGCACCGTCTGACTGGAAACTCTTGAGTTTGGTTCCTGACTCTCGTTCGGCGATTGGAAGCCATGTGGTGAATGCCTCGAAGGCTTGATCGCGCGTTTTGAGATTGAAGTGCCAGACGTATCTGGTTGCGGCGTCGATGAACGTGATGACGTAGTTGAAGTCGGCTTCGGTGTCGTCTCGAGGCATGTTTAGAATATCGCTGTAGACCTTTTCCATCGGAGCGTAAGTGGGTGCGCTTGGATTGTGATGGGCTGGGAAAGGTTGATGAGGAAGATCTGCTTCGGGGCATGTGAAACACCGTGCGCGTGGTCGTCGGAGTTCCTGGCCGCTCGTCGTCAGAAGGGCGTTGCGTTCTAACACTTCTGCTTGGATTGTTTGAAGTATCGTGCTGTTTGCAGGATGTCCGAGACGTTGGTGCCAGATGTCGTCGGGAGCGCGGTGACCGGGCGAGCGGTGGTAGATGTCGGCGTTGGAGAAGAACGCGACGACCGAGGCGGGACTTCGACAAGCTTCTCGTGTGGCGGGCATAAGTTGGTCTGCTTCGGTTGGCTGTCCTCGTGTCGCTGGTGGTGGTACTCGGCTGGGTCCTGCTGCCGATACTGCAGGTGATGGTTTTGTTGGGACACATGCGGGTACTTGTCTTTCTTGTCTGATAACTGCTAATGCTCGTGTTCTTTCTGCTGCAGGTATGGTGTTGGAGTGCCAGAAGCCGTCGTTGTCGAAGTCGGGATCAAGATCTGGCGGATGAGTCCAGGCGGCGAAGGATACGATACCGTCGCTGTCGGCAGTTCCGCGGTCGGGGACGAAGTCCAACACGAAGACACCGGACTTCAGGAGGGCACGACCGATGAAGAGACCGCCCTTCCCGTGGTAAAGTCGGAACTCGTTGGAGAAGGAGTCGCACTCCAGGTGAATCCCCTTAGCCATTAGTTGGCTTACGCTTAATAGGTTGTATCCCAGATTGTCGACGATGAGGACCTTGTTGAGCTGAAGAATAACGTTTGTCTCCATTGATTGTAACTGAACCACGCCTTGTCTATTTGTTTTCAGGTTTTCGTTGTTGGCGACGGTGATGACGACGTCACGGTTGAGGCGTCGCTCGTGTTGTACGAAGCGTCCGGAGGAGCACATGTGCTGACCGCAGCAACTGTCCAAGAACCAGGTGTTCCGCCCGGTGGGTTCGGCGTTAGCGACTGCAGCGTATGTCGGGTTGACCTGAAGTCCTTGCGAGCGCGGCGGCGGGAATTCCTCTTCGTCTGGTGCGTAAGTGGGTGGTGAAGCGGGTGCGCAGTTGTCGATGTGTACCATGCAGTTGATGATGTTGGGTGTTTGTTGTGCAGATGTTGAAGAGCGCCTTGGAGGACTTGCTTGAGTGGAAGCGACTTGTGGGTCTGCTGCACGGTAAACGCGAGGGCGGTTGCAGTTGACCTTGGAGTGCCCGGAAGTCTGACAGTTGTGGCAGAACGGCGGCACGATGGTGAGTCCTCGGTTGTCACGTTGATCTTGCTTGCTGCGTCGGTTGTAGTTGTTGTCATTTCTTCTTTGAGTGTAGAAGACTAACTGCTGTTGCTTCCTTGGTTGTCTTTCCTCGAACAGATCCATCTCCTGTTGTTCAGCGTGAAGCTCGGCGCAGAGGTGCATCTCCGAAATTCTTCCGTGGGCTCGAAGAAGTGATCGTGTGGTTCTCCATTCTGGCCCGAGCCCGGCGAGGACAAGTGTCACGAAGCTTTCTTCAGTGATCGTTCCTCCGCACCGAAGCAGGCGGTCGCGGAGGGTCTGGCAGCGACTCATATACTGCATCGCCTTTTCCCCGGTCTTCATCTGTATTGTTGTCAGCTGTTGCATGAGTCTGCTTTGTGTCACGCTGTCGTTTGCTTGGTAAAGGCATTTGAGGTGGTGCCATGCGAGCTCCGCGGAGTTTCCATAACTCCGATACGTTCTGATGCTCTGCTGCTCTTGTGGTGACAGGTTTCTCAGGAGTACCGTGTACGCCAGCAGCGACTGATACGTGAAGATCTCTTGTTCCTTCCCAGTGCCGTTGCTTGGGAATGGCAGGGACCCGTTGAAGTATCCCAGAAGATGCGCGGCCTCCATCAGCAGCTCGAACTCGAAGCTCCAGGTAAAGAAGTCGTGTCCGTTGAACGGTGAGGATGTCTGAAGTTTGATCACGTGTGAGAACTGCGCCTGTAAACTTAAGATTTCATTCGGTGTTTGTTGTGAAGCAGCTGCTGTTGGCTGGGCACGGGGCGGCATGAATTCGAACGTCCCCGGCGAAGAATGATAAGGCGCAAAGGTAGGCGCTTGATTGTGTCGCCCGAAGGATGAGTTGTCGAGGCTCATCGGCGCTAATCCCATATTCCCTCCATTGCTCTGTGTTGAGTGCGCAGGTGTCCTTGTCTGCTGCTGCTGATCGAAGTGTGACATGAAGCTGAAGAATCTCTCCATGAGATTCGGGTCCACACTTGAAGAGGGAGACGGGGTCACCATCTCTGGTACTCTTCCCGTTGTTTCTTGAGCAGTCCCGGTCTCTGTCTGCAGTCCTGAGGTGTGCAGACCAGAGTTGCCGTGTTGAGTTTCTTGGGCGCTGGGTGAGCCCGTAGAGACTTTCTTGCCCTTGTTGTCCATGTCTTGTAATCAATGAAGTCGTTGAATTGAGTTGAGTTGCAGGTTGTTGATAGGACGTAGTTGCTGGGAGTTTGGTCTCTGACCAGCTCTCATACCATGTTGGGCTGAGAAAAGCCCTTAGGATCTTTTGCAGAGACTAAGTCCCAGCTTGTAGAGACTTGAGACTTGGAGTAGTGCAGCGGAAGTTGAGACGGTTGAACCCTTGTACTAGTATGTGAGAACAAGTGATTGATTAAAGAAACAAGCATACAGCAATATATAGTAGATAAGAAAGCAGTTGTAGAATACAGTTACAGGAACGGTTTATCGAGTCGCACAGCGACTCGATTGCCGCTTCGGTTACCATCCGTGATGTTGTAACGGTCAGTCGCAACCTCCAGTTGCGACCTTTCGAGTCCTTTCGCATTCTTTGTCCGCCCCCTCGTGTAACCTCCGTTGACTCGCGTGCTCCCCTGTAGTCTTCCTCGAGTACAGTGTTACACTTCAGAAACGCTTAAGTCCTTGAGATATTTCCAACAACTTGCAGCATCAGCAATTCTCTCGACGGCAGTGAAGTCTACCTGACTCTGCAGCATATGCGCAACAAAAAAGAGGCTGAAGTGGACGTCGACGATGAAGTGGGCGCTGACGGATTCTCCAGGAACAACTCTGCTGCTGCGGCAGCAGAGAACGTGGCTGCTGCTGAGGAGGGGGAGGACGCTGAGGAGGAGGTGGAGGAGGAGGAGTAGCCTCCTGTAGTCTATGCAGCATCTGGATAGTTGATGCTAGTTAGGCTTTATGCATACAAATGTATGCTAGGTAGGGTGTAGAGCTAGCTATTGCTGCTAAAGCTTAGGTTATCTTGACATCTGACATTATAATTATGTGTATGTGTAAGTGTAACCCACTAATGGTTATGAAATACGCATCACGTAATAGGCCTTGAAAAACAGGGGGGGCGTATATGGTGCAGGTTTCCCCAAAACAAGAGGGGGCGTTTAATGAAATACAAATATATAAAAAAAAAACAATGCACGGGATAAAGCCCATAGGCCTTAACCTACGGAGGGGCGTATATCCGGGGGAGTACAGTATGAGGGAATTCCGATAGGAGGTGAAGAAACATGCCCTCAGAGTCCAGTGGGATGTGGACTTCTCGCAAAATCGCAACGCAGCATGATGTGGAAGCCAACAGGCGTTCCAAGCAGGAAGGCATAGAGTCAGCTCATGATGTGCTGGCCTCAGCTGACATACCTGTGGTGAAGCTCCAGGAGAAGATGGCATGTCTTTGGGGCTGGCTGCCTGAGAGGGCCACAAAGCCGAAGAGGAAGAGAGAGTCGGATGCAGTGGGCTTGAGAGCGGAGCAGAGAGACACGCTCGCTGTGAGGGTGGGGGTGAGGGGCTGCACAGGGTCGGAGGAGAGGAAGACTCGGAGAGTGCCGGCGCTGGTGGGATCGTAGTGGATCCAGGCGTGCTTGGTTTGGGCGTCGTTGAGGATGAGAGGGGCCGTTGCAGAGGCGAGGGACACAGGTGAGCCGCCCACATTGACGCCCACGTGGTTGTCGTTGGGGTCGCTGTGCTTCACACTCAGCACCGAGTCAAACTCCACTCCCACACTCCGCCGCCCCACCCCTCCCAGCCCCACAATCGCCCCCTTTTCAGAAGAAGCTGCTGCCACCACAAACGCGAGCCCCTCTCCACCCCTCCCCTGCCCCCCGGGACTCATGGCAAAGCTGAAAGCAGCAAGGAAGCCCAGCTGTGTTCCGCAGGGAGACCGCTTGTCGGGGATATGGAAGAGGCGCATGACAGGTGAGGCAAACGCTGCACCCTGCTGGTTGGGCGCCCCACCTGTGAGCAGAATGGAGCCGTTGGAAAGCACAGAGGCAGAGCCCCGGAGCGACGCATAGGCAGAGCCTGACGCTAGTGATGCCCCAACGGCTGCAATGCAAGAGAGGCAGACACTAGGACAGAGGTGTGAGTAGTGAATCAATAACACATTATTAGCTTAGTAGACCTAGTGCTAGCTTTCTCTAGTGCTAGCTTTCCCTTGACGGAACAAGGGGGACACACCAAAATATCAAGAAACGAAAAAAATGTTGTGGGTGCAGAAGTGACAGGCACACACCTCCAGACACACAGGCGTTGCTGTTGCTGCTGTTGAGCATGTAGTTGGGGTCGCACACACACTCGCCGGCTGCGGTGAATGCGTTCACAGAGCAGTAGCCATGCCCCCCACACAGCGGGTCAGCAGCACCGACCTCCACCCCACAGAATGAAGCACATCCAGCAGCGGGCCTCTGGTTGGAAGCACGGCCGCAAACTCTCAAAGAGCCAGCCAGGCAGTTTCCAGATGTGTCCCACACGACTGCTGAGCAGTTTCTGAACTTGACCTCGCCATGCGAGAAGAAGTTGCCACCCACTCGATACTGCGTCAAGCTTGGACTGGAAGCGCTGGGCAGACGGCCGGAAAACTGGCTTCCTCTGAGAAACCTGAATGGCAGGCGGAGGGTGCGTGAGGGAAACAGTTGGTAGGACCATGGTTGAGCAGGGCTGTAACCTGGGAGGTAGAATAGAGAGCTTACAGCACAGAGAGGTTCCTCATGGCTCGTACGATGGGATCGATGGGGCCGCACAGCTGGTTGTTACCCAGCAGCCTTAGCAACACACACACGAGTGAACACATGCAGGGACGGAGGAACACAGACGCATTGGAGAACCGAACAGAGAGCACTTCGTGACAATTGGCCGGGGCGTGCAACCAGGAGGTTTGTGCATTTGGGGAACTTGCCAAGAGAAAATATTCCCAAAGCATTTTGTCTTGCCAGTTTGAAAATGGCAAATCAATTGTGGAAAGAGGTTGCAAGGCAACAAAAGTAGGGAGACTGGCAGGTATGATGAGTAAACGGAACCCAGTAAATTGGGCATGGCACGTTGGATAGTGGCAAGAAAATTTCATACAACTCTTGAAGCTTGGAGAGATTGCTGAGAGTGCTGGGGACGGTGCCATGAAGCTGGTTGTCTGTGATGAACCTGCTCGTGAGGCAGGCAGCGCGCACATGATTCATGCTCCCACCAGTCCTCTTAAATAGTGGAGGCTGTAAAAACACAGCTGGCAAGACTGCACAATGTCAAAAGTCAACGGTACCCACTAACAGCAAACGCATGTTGAGAGTTTGTGATCAGAGATGATAATTACAGAAGGAGAAGATAGTCTGTCTCATCCATAATCATACAAGCCAAGGAGATTGGTGAGCTTCCCAAGGGCTGTAGGGATGGATCCAGACAGTGGGTTGGAAAACAGCACCCTGGTGGCACAGAGGCACAGAAAGGCGGGGCTTCAGAGCAGAACAGGTGGCACAGCTGTGCACATGTGCAGAGCCAACTGCAGAGCAAGCAAAGCGGTGACAGCCGGGTGCTTGTAAGCCAAGACAGGCATCTGTTTGAGAGCAGCAAGTGAGCCACTGTGGCGCTTGTGCAAGGAGAAGAGACAGCCCACAGGTTTTGCAGAACAGGTAGATCACCCAGCACAGCCGGTATGCCTCCCGAGAGCTGGTTGTCACCGAGTGTTCTGAATCAAACACGCCATGATACGGGAAGCAGGGCCAAGCCACATGCCTGAAACAAATTTGAAAGGGCAAAGCCATTGCTTGAGATGGAGTGAAAACGGGGGAAAGGACATGCAGAGAAATTTGGGGGAAAAGAGCTTGTATAAGATGGAATGTGTGTGTGAAAAGAATGGTGCACTTTACAGGCGTTCCAGCTGCTGCAGTGATGCGAGTGAAGCGGGAATCGAGCCGTGCAGAAGGTTGTGGTTAAGCCCACTGGGAAAATGCAGCAAACAAACGAGGCACCTTGGGATGAGTAATCCAGTCCACGGAAAAGAGATGGAAAGTAAGCAGCCGGGCCATTAGTGCTCTTCGATAAAACAGTGACCGTTAGTTCTGCTGCAGAGTAAGACAAATGCAGCCAACACACACTGCATGATGCGCGCAATATGTTTCTTGAACCATCAGAGGATTGTGTGGCAGAAGAATTGTACAAAAGAGAAAGATTGGGAGTGAGCAAGTCACACTCAGTGACAAACGAAACTACTTCCGCCCTTGTCAGGACAAACGATTGTGGCATATTTCTGGAATAAAAGGGAGCAATTGAAAGGAGTCGGATGTATGCGTAAGCATGGAGGCAAAACCCTTAGCGAACACGCGAAAACGTAAGGCTGGTTTCAAATTGTGCGACTCACAGGAATTTGAGAGCAGAGATGAACCCAATTGAGTCAGGGATTGATCCTGTCAGCCGATTGCTTGCCAAATCGCTGTGAAGGCACAGACAGAAGATCAACCATAGATGGGAAAGTGACGGACGGGCAGCAGAGGCAAATGATGGTCAAGGAGAGAAGGATGGGTGACACGATGCACACCACTGCGTTCTGCGCTGCCGTGATTGCATGCAAATGTGTGGCGTTGTGATCACGCATCCATCATATCATATTCAGCTAAGCAGACACATCAGCAGCAATGCAGACACATGTCAGTATTGCTTCAGACATACGTCAGCAGCACTTCGCACCGGAGGCATGCTTGGCCAAAGGCCCTCACAGGTATGTGAGGCTGTGCAGGCGACTGAGAGTGGCGGGTATGGTGCCAGTGAGCTTGTTGTACAGCAATTCACTGACGGGTGAGGACAAAAAGCAGAGATGCAGAAAGGGTGTCTAAGAAAAGGACTACTGGCTCGCAAAGCTGCAGCAGCAAGGGGCTGTACCGCTTACAAGGATGCTCCATTCGACACCAGTGGCAAGCATCCTGTTTGTTTGCAAAATAGATCATGTGTCGTTCGTAAGCCCGCACAAAACAGAGAACGGACAACCATGGGACGAGCCAGCGTACAGCCTCTGGAGAGAGGCCATGTTGCCCATTGATGAAGGAATGCTTCCAGATAATAGGTTGTAACTTAAGTCCCTGTGGATGCAGTGGGCAGGTGGGGGGGGAGATCATCATGCCACTGACAAGTGCCGTGGAAAGAGTCACTAGAGTGTCAAAATATCCCTCAGGCCAGGTGCACAATGATATGTCAGCATATCCCCTCGGGCGAGTGGAACACACTAGCTGCACGACGGCAGGCAACGAGCAGCGCTGGCCCCCCCAATGGTGGGGGTCTGTGTTGCCTCAAGTTTGGCCAGGAAAGAGAGGGCAGAGGGCAGCGAGGTGTGGCTCACAAACAAGTGAGGGCGGTGAAATTGCCGAGCTCACTGGGGAGAGAACCGCTGAAAGAATTCTGCGGAAGAAATCTGAGGAATGGGAAGGCAGAGTGTGTAGCATTAGCAGGTGACAAGCAGGGGATGCTGCCTGTGGCAGAGACATAGAAGCGTGAGTGGCGCTCATGCTCCACAACCAGGGGGCTTACTGCACCATCTGCACAGGCTGCTATCTGCAAGTATATTTGAAGAGAACACAGAGCCAATTTCCTGTCATGCCTCTTCCAGAAAAAAAGGTGAATAGCTACGGTTTTCAGGAACAATGGGGGGAGCGACGAGGCGTGGGAGAAGCAGAGGACGAGGCTGACAGTTCTTTGAGTCGTGGCAAGTTGGACAGCGGGGTGATTGGCCCTGATAGCCGGTTGTTAGCAAGATAACTGATAACATGCGGGAGAAAGAAGTGGGGAAATGCGGAAATGTGCCGTGGAAATGTGGGTTACATGTCAACGTGCTGTGCACATGACATCGGTTTCTCCGAGTACAAGTTCACACGCACGAGCAGCTGCATGCTAAGTTGGAAAAAACGCTCAACTCTTTTTGCGTATTGCGTTTAAACGCTTAAAAAATACGAACGCTGCGTTTTTTTTTGTAAATACGCTGAAATACGCACGGGCTGCCCGAAAAAAAACCCAAAAAAAAAACGCGACACTTCACGACGTGTAGACATGAGCAATTTAAATCACATAGCATCGCATCGCATTTGATCGCGTTTTTGCGATGGCGATGTATTTTTTTCCTTTAATTCATCGCGCGATGCGATGAATTAATTAATCGCGCGATTTAATTTAAATCGCATTTTAATCGCGGTTAAAAGCGTGATTTAACTGCGATTAGACATGATCAAAACGCGATTGCGATTTAAATCGCATCGCATGCAGGTGCGATGTTTAAAAAAGCGATGCGATTTTAAATCGCATCGCGCGATTTAAAAAAAAAAAAAAAAAAACAAACAAATCGCACATCGCATTTTACCCGCGATGTATTAAAAAATCGCATGCGATGTTTAATTAAATCGCGCAATGCGATTTTAAATCGCATCAGGTTTTAAAACAGAATTAAAAAACACCCCAAAAAAACAGGAAAAAACCATGGCTGCGGGGAAATTGACTCACGGGCAGTCGTACGCTAGAGTGCAAATAACCAGTGTGGTTTCGTAGTGGGTTTCAGAGTGGGTTTCAGTGCAATATCGCGCGCGGTTTTTAAAAAATCGCATATCGCACTTAAATCGCGTATTTTAAGCCCGATTAAAATGCGATTTAAATTAAATCGCGCGATATTAATTCATCCCATCGTGCGATGATTTTTTTTTTTTTTTTTTAAACATCGCCATCGCAAAAATGCGATTAAATGCGATGCGATGCGATTTTTTTTGCCCATGTCTAACTTCGATATGCGATTTTTATTAAATCGCGCACGATGTCGCACTGAAACCCACTCTGAAACCCACTACGAAACCACACTAGTTATTTGCACTCTAGCTTACGACTACCCGTGATTTAATTTCTTGGCAGCCATGGTTATTTTCTGGTTTTTTAGGGGTGTTTTTTCCATTCTGATTTAAAACGCGATGCGATTTAAAATCGCATCGCGCGATTTAATTAAACATCGCATGCGGTTTTAATATTCATCGCGCGCAAAACGCGATGTGCGATTTTTTTTTTTCCAGAAATTAAATCGCATCGCATTTAATTGAATCGCCCCCCAATGCGATGCGATTCAAATCGCAATCGCATTTTGCCCATGTCTAGCGACGTGGCGACCAACTGTATCGCCTTCGACGGTCCCGAACTCGAATTTGAACCCGAAGCACACCAACCCCCCCTTCGAAACCTCTGCCCAGCCCACCTTCACCCCGTCAATTCCCAATCCCTCCCAACCCTGAAGTTGAAGCAGGGGTGGAGTTGTGTGGGGTGGGCTGTAGGGGGGACGTAGAGGCAGGGATTAGTTTGGTAGTGAGGTGTGCAAAGAAAAAGTATGGAATGCGCCTAGTAGTAGTAAAAATGGGTAGGGATTTCAAGGTGCTTTGCACCTCCCCCTACCTCACCTCTTAACCCAACAATTTGACTGTACAAACGCTTTCGTATAAAACGCGATACGCATATATTCCAACTTAGGCTGCATGCACGTGTGGTGGAGGCTGCACGAACGGCAGTACTCACAGGAGTTCCAAGTTGGTGAGGCGGCTAAAGCCCATGGGAAGATTCCCCGTGACGGGATTGCCTGATAACACACTTCATTCATGCAGTCAGGCATGTAGGTGAGCAATGCACAAGCAGCACATGAGTGGGGCACAGCTATTCAGAAAGTAAGATCAAGATGAGAGCATGAGCTTAAGCCTCCATATGCACCATGGGAGGAGGCGGCAGCTGTGGGCTGGTTGATCTCAGAAAGATACATCAAACATAAATTTGAATGGAGCGTTGTTGATGGTAATTAACAACAGTTGACCGGATGATGCCTTGCACACAACCATGAACATGGCTTACAGAATGTTCAGTTGCTCCAGGCTGAAGAGGGCATCAGGGATGGTACCTGTGACTTCGCACACGAGAAGCAATCTGAGAGATGAGGCAAGGGGCCAGCAATTGGAGGGAAATCGGCGTTCAGTGAGAAAGGCTGGGAGTGAGGGTAGGGAAAGTTAAGGTTAGAGGGGAGGGCTGAGGAGCTGGCCAGATTGGGTGGGTGGGGTCCGAACCGTGGAGAGCACCGCCTTTACATCAGCTCCTCCTTGCCTCCCACCCATGTAAGGCATGCTCCTGAGCACACCTGAGACCATGATCCCAGCAGATGGCTGCTGCCAGCCAGCCTGCCCTCGTGAATCCGCCACTCTACCCCCATCCACGGGGCCACAGGGGGGTTGGTTAAAGAGGAAAAACGAAACCCACAAGCTGGTATATCATTCGTGGCAAGTTGGCAAAAGCAATGCAGTCATAACTGGCGTTCATTCATAATCGAGAAAAACTGTCACCACACGCCTATGCAAAGCAAGGGCATCATATCCTGAGCGGCCGTGCTACTCAGCTCTAGCCTCACCCAAGAAAGCAAGGCGAAAAAAGTACAAAGCGGTAGCACAAGTGCTTGACATAAAGGGATGCTGCTCATGGCGAATATTGAAGCAGCAAGAGCTGACAGGGTGTTGAGGCGCTGGAATCGGCTGATCATGTCGGGTATTGGCGCTCCAAAGTTCTTCAGTTTAAGCATTCTGCGACGGAGATAACGTTGGGTGGAACCAGAGGCTTAAACCAGGGCAAATTCCAGAGACGGAACCAGTCGTGATAACAAGTCGTGTTCTTTGGTTAATATGAGCCCTAGACCCAAAACACGGAATGCTAGAAACAACTATCACTTATCTCAACTAAACCCTCACACACATGTCCTCAATCACCACTTTAATGCCGAATCTAACCACTAAGCGCTAAAAAGCACACTAGGATCTAGGTTTGGGATAGGGGAGACATTTGGGGTAAGGAAAAACGGATCTGCAAAATGCGACCCCCCCCATCCAGTAGCGCGTCACGCTACGCTCCTCATTCACAAGCCAAAAGCCTCGGCTCGTCGGGATTGGAGGCGACGAGCCGAGCCATTCTGTCGGCTCGTCAAACCAGCTCAGCTAGGCTCGAGACGAGACGAGCCGGGCCATAAAAAAAACAAACACAACTCAGCTCGTTCGTAGGACGAGTCGCGCCGTATCAAGCCGAGCCTGCGCGGCGCTATGCCCATTCTAAATTAGGGAATGGAATGAGCTGCACACAGAGGTTAACTCCACATGAAACGCCGTGCAAAAACGACGCGCTGCCACATGCGCAGCAGCGGGCGTGACAGCATGGGATGGGAGGTGTGCTCACATGGCAGCGACGAACCCATCCTTATCGCAGAAGACGCCCTCCATTGCAGTGCAGTCCACGTCGCGCAACCCCCACGTTTCGCTGCCGTTGAAGCCATTCCACTCGCTGGCCAGCAAGGCGAGACTCGTGGCTGGGGGGACGAGGTTGGGGCGAGACACGGAAGGGGTAAGGCACGGATGGGGCGAGGCACGGATTGGGTGAGGCACGGATGGGGCGAGGCACGGATTGGGTGAGGCACGGATGAGGCGAGGCACGGATGGGGTGAGGCACAGATGGGGTGAGGCACGGATGGGGCAAGGCACGGATGGGGTGAGGCACGGATGGGGTGAGTGAGGCACAGATGGGGTGAGGCACGGATGGGGCGATGCACGGATGGGGTGAGGCACGGATGGGGCGATGCACGGATGGGGTGAGGCAAGGATGGGGCGATGCACGGATGGGGTGAGGCACGGATGGGGTGAGGCACGGATGGGGCGATGCACGGATGGGGCGAGCCACGGATGGGGTGAGGCACGGATGGGGTGAGGCACGGATGGGGTGAGGCACGGATTGAGCGAGGCACGGATGGGGTGAGGCACGAGTGAGGCACGGACGGGGCGAGGCACGGATGGGGCGATGCACGGATGGGGTGAGGCACGGATGGGGCGATGCACGGATGGGGTGAGGCACGGATGGGGCGATGCACGGATGGGGCGAGCCACGGATGGGGCGAGGCACGGATGGGGCGAGGCACGGATGGGGCGAGGCACGGATAAGGTGAGGCACGGATGGGGTGAGGCACGGATGGGGTGAGGCACGGATGGGGAGTGAGGCACAGATAGGGTGAGGCACGGATGGGGTGAGGCACGGATGGGGTGAGGCACGGATGGGGCGAGCCACGGATGGGGTGAGGCACGGATGGGGTGAGGCACGGTTGGGGTGAGGCACGGATTGAGCGAGGCACGGATGGGGTGAGGCACGAGTGAGGCACGGACGGGGTGAGGCACGGATGGGGCGATGCACGGATGGGGTGAGGCACGGATGGGGCGATGCACGGATGGGGTGAGGCACGGATGGGGCGATGCACGGATGGGGCGATGCACGGATGGGGTGAGGCACGGATGCGGCGATGCACGGATGGGGTGAGGCACGGATGGGGCGATGCACGGATGGGGTGAGGCACGGATGGGGTGAGGCACGGATGGGGTGAGGCGCGGATGGGGTGAGTCACGGGCGGAGGAAATGCAGGAGACAGAAGAAGGACGACGAGGGAAGGCAAGTGGCTGCAAGGGAAACAGCTGGGAGAGCTGCCTGCTGCTGCGTGTGGTACCAGGAATGCTGCAGTTGTGGCGTATGCTGCACTACGCTACGCAGCCTCCATCTCCGTGGCGTGGTCCACGCGGCTTACCATCTCTCGGGTGCAGTCGTACTGCCACTGCACCCCATGGGACCACAAGGCACGCCAAGCCGCCAAGCAGCAGCAGATGCAGCTCCAGCCCTCGCTGCGTTTCCTGCTGGGGATGAGCATCAAAAGGCACCACGGGGTGGTGGTGGTGGCAAATGTGTTAGTCGTTACTAACGAGGAAATACCGGAACTCGCCCCGTCAGCCATGCCTGGCACTATGGCAATCATTGCCACGGGAACATTTTGCTGTGTGTCAATTTGGGGATGATGTCCCCCTCGCAACTCCGGCTCTCATTAGCGCTCGCGCCAGCACAGGCCACGGTGTGCGGACCGGCATATGGAGCGCACTTGGAGCATAAGGTATAAGGCCTGGGCATGGACGTCGCGAGCTTACACGGTGTGTCGGCATGGCGGCCGCAAACTTGCTCCAAGTCGGAGCCGTCAGTGTGAGTGGCTGGTCCCAGCTCCCCACTCACGGGGGCTTGTGATCCAAACCAGACGCGCGAGCGATGGGCGACGTTCCTGCAGCACCAAGTACCATGGCGCGGGAGGGTGGCGGTGAGTTCTTGACAATGACAGGCAACCTATCTTCTAAGCGCGCCGACTCAAACCCAAAGCGAACAAAAGAATACATGAATTGTAGGGGGGAAAATTGCGTGAGACAGTGAGACCAAACGATATATAGGAAGTGTTAAATAAATATAACGTGAGAATACAAGGTCGCTATTGCAATGAAAGCACGAGGTTATATAGGGGTTGGCGTGCTAGGGCGATAACCTCAGAACGTGGGTAGGTTCGGCAATGTGGCGACAGTGCTGGACGCGACTCGGGAAGAGGTTGGGCCGACAAATGAGGCCGAATGCGACGAGTCGAGGAGTTCGGGTGGACGCGCTAGCGTACGACTCAGTAAGGAATGGAAATTCCTTTCACTACCCCCCCCCTAAACGAGGCCGCGGGCATCAAAAACATTCCGACGCTAATAATACGATGTTAGAATCGGCTGTGATTCTATATCAGCGAGGGGCACCCACCTGTCATCCTCAGACGTCCGATCGCGCCATCTGACGAGAAAATCCACCATTCGACGGTTCTGCTGCATTGTGACTCGATGGCCAAGAACCTTCAGGGGCTCGGTAGTCGGTTCCTGCAGAGGCGTCAGCTGCGGTACGATGCGCTGACGTGCCAAATCCGACGAACTGGGGATGTAGGGTCTGTAATAATTTGACAGGTGGTGCAGGAGTCTAAGTATAGAACCTGCAACCACGAACACTTGGAAAACCTCAAGTGTTAACCTGGGATCTTTACTGGAACGATAGACAGCGGAAGTCTTAGAACTTGTAAGTGTTGACCATAATTTACTAAAGAACAAGTTAACTAAACAATGAAGACAGGCTACTTTTATACCTAACAGAAGTACCTGTTCGCTAATGTACATGTTCGACCCTACTGCGCTATGCGCCCTATCGACTGTTCGCATGACTGAAACGACTGTCCTCATGACGAGCGCTATTTGCTGACGTCATCCTACGGAGGTCTCTTCTACAGTAGGATTCGAGACTATCTATCGATAATCGACCTACAGAAATGCTAAGTATGAATCATATCACCATACTCCTTATCATTTATGGAAGTCCAATAGTGTCACTTCTTGAAGACCTCGCAAAGTTCGTTACAGTACTGAAACTTCCGTCGTGTCAATTTCTTCGTGAGGAAATCTGCAGCCATTTCGTTGGTCGAACAGTAGATCAATCAAATCCTCCCCTTCTCAACTTCATCCTTGACGAAAAAGTAACGCAGTGAAATGTGTTTCGTCCTGTTGACAAACCCGGGCTGGTGCGCGATGCGAATTGCACTCTGGTTATCGGTATCAGCTCCCATGTACCACGATTCTTAAGAGATGTTAGCTCTCTGTCCATGGCTTCGCGCCATTTTTCTCGGTGAGGACTCGTAAGAGCTTGTCGAACTGTTTTCGGTTGAGATATTTCGCTGTCGTTGTACTGTACTGCAACGGCAAATCCAAGGACCTGCAAACCAATTTCTGTAAGATGCGGACGTTCTCCGTTTGCACCTGAGAATTTTTTTTCTGACCCTTCTTCCCCCCCAATTTTGTCAAGTGTAACACGGACTGCTTTGTCGGAGACAATGGGCATCGGCTGCTGTTGACGATCGCGTTCATAACTGAGGTGTACTTCGTGAACGTCATCCGGGTCAGCATCAGCGAGGGGAATAAACTCCGGGATGCCAGACGACGTGACAGGTTTGGGAATGTCTGTGGCGGCAGCTTCGGAGGCTTCAGAAACTGCCTCGTCTTGTACAGCACCATCTGCTTCGTCTGTTGCAAATGCACGCGAGCCTTCAAATAGCCTGGCGGGGTTGGCAACTGCTGCCTAGTGGGCACGAAAGACTGGCAAGGTGAGTCGCTCATAGAAAAGACAATCACATGAAGGGACGATTTGGTTTGAATGTAGATCCGAAATCTTCCATGCGTGATACTGTTTTTCGATGCCGAGGTGGACCCCCCATTTTGCCCGTTCTGGAAATTTACCAAGTGCTGCAGTTTGAGGTCGATATTGCACGACACACCCAAAAACTCGTAAGAGTTTTGTACTTCCCACTGTACGTGTCCACTACAGGTGTGGAGAAGAAAATTCGGGCAGTGATTTTGATGACAGGAGGTTATGTAACAGCATGGCATGGTCCATCGCATATGGCCAAAAACGATGAGGAAGAGCTGCATGTGTCAGCATAGCACGCATCTTCTCTTGCAGAGTTCGATTCATCCGTTCTGCTACCCCCATCTGTTGGTGTGCATGTGACAGAGACTGCTTCCTTTTGATGCCGAGGGTTTGGAGGTAGTCTGTGAAAGTGTTGCTCGTATACTCCCCTACGCCATCACTCTGAAATTCTTGCAGTTTCCCTCAGACTCTCTTTCAGCGACAGCGAGCCATGCGATGAAGACCGAATGGGCGAGATAACGAGCAGGAAGGTTGGCTGTCCAAACGTAGCGAGTAGATGCTTCGATAAAGGTAATCACATACTGCTCCTCTCAGGTCATGCTTCAGGTAAGTTGAGAATATCGCTGTAAAATTTCTGCATCAGTTGATAACGAATTGAGCCAGGAAAATGACTCGGAAACGGGTCGTGGGTAAGATCGGCGATCGGACACGTGGTGCAAACCATTGGACGAGACTATGGTTTCATCTCCGTACCGTCAGGTAAGAGAAGACTGTTTTTATCAATAACTGCTGCTCGAATTGAATGATTTAAAAACCCTTGCGATGGATGTCCTAACCGTTGATGCCAAATGTCCTCTGTGGCTTTGTGTCCTCTTGATCGCACATAGAAATCGGCGTTAGTATAAAACGAAGAAACGATGCAAGGAGAGTGAGCTGGAGACATTTCGATCTCCCCTTTCACGAAACGGGTAAGTGGTAACTGAATGTTTGACGGCTCTGCTGCAGTTGCAATTGCAACGTCTGATACTGCGGCTGTTGATGTGATGGCAGACGGTCCTGCAACAGCTACTGTGTGACTCGGCTGCTCGGCGACTTCTGCTTTCGCGACTTCCTCGACGACTTCGGGTTCATCAGCTGCAACACCACTGATTTCGCCCCAAAATGGAGCTGGAGATCCTTGGAAAGCGGCACGAGCGTTATAGAACGTTTGCCAAGCGTTGGCACCTTTATCGGCGGTGTTGAACTCCCAAGTATCAAGAGCGCTCAGAACGGCAGCTGCGGTTCGAGAAGTCGTGGGTACGGTAGTTGCACGAAAATCTATATCAACTTGTTGATAATGGGTGTCGTCGGGATGATTCCAGGGACCGAGAGCGAGGACGCGTTCAGAATCGCCAGAGGTGCCCTGCGCCGTGAACTGAAGAACAGATACCCCATATTGAGTAGCAGCGCGACCAAAGTAAGTGTTTGTCAGACTGTGCCATAACTCTTGATCCATTGTATCACAATTGCCTTGTGTGTCAATCTTGTCTGCCAGGAGCTGAGCTGTGGAGAGGAGATTAAAACCAAGGCCGACGACGATAAGGACGTTGGTAACATGTAAGGAATATCCTGTGTCGACGGACTCGAGCATTACACTTCCGATGGATCTGGCTATGATAGTTTGTCCGTTTGCAACTGTGACAGGTATCGGAGACGTAGTGGACGCTAATTGGTGATGAAGCTCGTTTCAGTGGAGCACATATGCCAACCACAACAGCTGTCGAGATACCAAGCATTGGGTCCTGAAATGACTCGAGCAAGGTTAGAGTAAACTTGCGGTAAGGGAATGCCCTCTGCACTGGTGGTTTCTTCAAGTTTTGTCTCGAAATCGGTATCTGAAACATCAACTGTCGTAACACATCCAAAAACTCCTTTTCCTGATGCTGCAGATGGAAGGACCAGAGGACGGTGCTGTGAGAGAGGTATATTATGTGGTGGTTTCTGCATATGCTGTGTTTGGGACTTCGACTGCTGCGTTGGCTGATGTGACTTCGGTAACTACTGCGAATGATGATATGGTTGTGAAGAACTGCGACGGTTTCTTGCAGAAATGATAGAAGGGATATTTTGGGGGAAGGCGTTGTTGCGGCATTGGGTTTGAGTAAAAACTGAAGTGTACCCCCTTCTTCTGATTGTGTTGTGACTGCAGGTCAAGATCTTGCTATTCTGCTTGAAGATACGAGGAAGTCTCGACTTTGGAGAGATTCGGGTTCATGCGCAAGAAGGCGCGCGTCTGTCGCCATTCGGGACCAAGTCCAGCAAGAAGGACCGTGAGATACATCTCACGAGGGAAGTATCCACCAGTCTTCTCCAATTGATCTCGTAGTGTGCGTACACGATTGACATAATCCATGACATTCCCGTTTGTCATCATCTACACATTTGTCAGCTGCGAAAGAATTTTGCTCACTGTGATTGTATCCTGCACCATATACACCCCTTTTAAGTGTTTCCATGCAGTTTCAGCTGGCGTAAAACTGTAATGGAAAGATCGAACGCCAAGCTGCTCCTTTGGCGATAAGTTTCGAACAAGAACCGTATCCGCCCTGAGAGAGGCATGCAAAAAACTCTGCTGCTCCAGTTGTGTTCCCATAACAGGATATGTAAACTCGCCGGTGAAGAACGGCCATCGCCCGGCAGACTGTGCCAGAAGTTCAAACTTGAAGCTTCGGGAGCAAAAATCAACTCCGTTAAAAGATATTGTGGTCTTGATTTGTGTGCTGTTAAGTAAATTCGGCGGCTGAAAAATAATACCCTGTTGTTGAGGTTGTTGATGTTGTTGCTGTTGCTGAAATTGTTGTGGATGTTGCTGTTGTTGTTGCTGAGCAGGTGAACGCCCGAAGATGTAAAAGGGCTGTTGCTGCTGAGACTGCGGCTGCTGCGTAAAACGTGCGAAAGCAAAAGAGCCGGTACTTGGAGCTGGAGCTCCACGCATGTAACTTGAGCCATTAAGGCTCATTCCACTAAACGCTGATGATACTGACTGAGTTGAGAACTATTGTGCTGTTGCCTGTGTTTGCTGTTGTTGCGCTG